CTTCGATCTTCGCCGCCCCGGACATTATATCCGTAATCAAGTCGATGTTAGCAACGGCTTCCTGAAGAGAAATGCGGCAGTCCACCTCGCCCTTGCGTTTGTCCCACTTCTCCCTCAACGACTTCAGCAGCTTGTCATACCTGGCCTTGATCTCACGTTTTCCAGCTCTGGCTGCCCGACAGATAGCTTACTCTTTGGAGTCTCGCAGCACGTTGTTCTGGACTTCGAGTTTGTTAGCCTGATAAACAGCAACTTACCGCTCGAGCATCGCAACTTTGATCTGAGCCTCCAGTAGCTCGACGCGATGATGCAGCTCGCTGGAAGGAGTGTGCTCCTTCTCGCAGACCTCTATCTAAGCTTTAGCTGTCTCCATCGAATCCTTTAGGTCGCCAACAACCGCTGTCATGCCCGCGAGCTAGTCGACAGAGGGGGCGCTCTGCAGCAGATCTTCATAATAAGCGACCAGCTTGTTCTTCAACTGCATAAATGAAAACTCCAAAATGAACATATTCAGTTCACGCAAGCAGCCACAAGGAGAGAAATGGTGAACAGAAGCAATATGAAATGAAAACTAAATCGAGCATCCGCCAGCACCGTGTCGATATAAAGCTCACGAACTCTCAGCTTCTCCACCGGCGGGATGGTGCAGCCGGCCGGTTTGCAATGTCTCAGCAGATGAGCAAGACTTACTGGATCTTCCATGATATGAGCGTCCGTAGTGTGTTCGTACATCCAGTGGAAGGGCCTGCCCCGCGACCTGTTATCACGAGCGGATGATTCTCCACCCTTTGACATTTGGATTGCTGGTGAGATCCGCCATTGCTCCCCGAGCTCTTGGACTTCGAACCATGCACGACAGAAGCTCGCTATGAATTAACACGACCCGGTGAATCAGCACGAGGTGATACGACGGTTGAAGGACGAGCCCCCGTCGAGATATTAGCCTCAATTTCCTGCATCACCTCGTGCAGTGCAGATGCCACGTCACTAGCCGTTGCGGGCTCACTACCATCGACCTTTATTTTTCCTGCAGCTTTTTCGAGCTGACGTTGCAAGTGTCGGCGAGACATATTCCTGACCGGGGGAGGAACCGTTGACGAACTGCTATCTCCGAGTTGTGGACCTCTCGCTACAGATCCAAAACTAGAAGAAATAGAAATTACAGCCTGCGGCATAACATATAGCCTCCGGTAATCCGTCAATCAAAAGCCAAGACCGTCACATACCTGGTGAGATCTGAACGGAAGGCGAAGCTTCTCTAACAGGAGCCGGGAGCTGGTAAGCCTGAAGAATTCTATCTTTGGTGAAAGACGACCACCGAGTATGACCTCTCCTTAAGCGCGTCAGCGAAACGAACCCAACCAGGAGAATCTGTACCAAAACCAAAAGCAAATCTAGGTTAATCTATGATCCGCGAAACTAGCGAAAATCAAACATGCAAAAAAAAGGGGGCGGCGAAGAGTCTATCTAGGGCCTAAAAATTAAGTGGGATTCTCCTAACCGACGGAGTCAGCCTATTTGGAAGGCAGAGAGCTAAAATCAAAATTGCCAACCGAAAACTGGTCAATCTTGAAAAAGAAGGGCTTGTCTTGCCATCCGTCGTCCCGCGGTGGCAAACCTTCGATGATTTTCCGATTCGATTTCGGGAAAATGTAAAATGAGTCGTCACTGTAAGCATTCTTCTTCACCATTCAAAGCCGGTAAAATTCCTTGACTCCAAAGTGAAGTCCATTCTCTCGCGACAGAACCCATAACCTGATAATCGTCCGAATCAGGTTCGGATGCATCTGGGGAAACGCAATCCCCATCTCGGACGCGAACTCTAGCAGGAACCGCGGGATCGGGAAGGTGAGTCCGCAGGACTCGAAGTATTGCCAGAAAGCACATCCGTATCCGCTCGTCACTCTCTGGGGACCCTCCGGCTTTCACGGCCTGAGTATCTCGACCCCATAAGCCAGCTGAAGTTCTTCGACTTTGTGGGAACTCATTTTGTGGTCAAACGAGGACCCCGAATAGCTGACACCTTCACGCGCTGGGATCCGCCGGTGATATATCATGGTTTATGGTTTTTAACCATGATATAAGTCATTTTTATTGAGTCTTTTTGGTCTTTTTAGAGTCCTAGAAGAGTCTTTACAGGTTATAGCATGTCTGGAGCATAATTGGAGATTTTGGAACCTTTTGGAGCATTCTGAGTTGAAGCCAAAAAGTACCAATCTCGAAGCAGAAAGTATCCTATATGGTGACGCTCGTCACCCATCATGGAAGGAGCGTGGTGGATTTATTAAAAGTATGAAGACTATTTGCAGAACTGGCCCAGAATTTCCATTAATTACAAGAAGACCCCAGATCGTGTTTAGCCTCTATTTATTAGGTTTTTCAGCCATTGTTGGCCATGATCTTAGTATTTGAGAATTCAGAGAGCTTAGAGAGAGATTTATTCAGAGCTTTTTGGGGAGACAAATCCTGTACTCTTTTGAGAAGATTTCGAACCCCTCTATTCTTTTACTCTTTCTCTTAATGCAATATTATTCAGTTATGCTTTGTGAATCCATAATCATGTCTGAGTAATCTGCTAGTTAAGTTAGGGCTTTTTCAAGGGTTGATGAAGAGAGTGTAGAATCGCAATTCTGTTAGGAATATCTTTTGGTTTTTCATCTCTGCTTGCTTTAAAATCGAATTTCTGAGAAACATCATCTAGGAATCCGAAAATATTAGGTTGTTAAATATATGTGAGAGCGTTATTCATAACCTGAACTATTATTTGATGAGCAAAACAACTTAGTGCAAAGAGATTTGGCTTAGGAGTTTTGTAAACAATTGAATCTGATCATTCCTGCATGCTTAGGTTGTTAGGATTTGCAAAGAGATTGAACTCTGTGATTTAGGCATAGATAACTTTTGCAATGAGAATTGATTAGTTATATATCAGTGATTCATGTTTAAAACAATTCTTAATCATTCCTGATTTTCTGCATTCTACATTCTTGAATTTAACGTGCGAACTGTCCTGACTTAGCGCTTTTAGTCTTCTAAAACTTAGATCATCTGCCAAAAATCGTTTGCTTACATTTATTTAATCATTCGCATTACATACATTATATCCTACTTAGCATAATCCGAATCTACAATTCGATAGTGTAGTTTGCATTACTCCCTTGGGATTCGATACCCCTTGTACTACAACTGATTTTGCTGTGCACTTGCAGTAGTTTTATTTGGGTAAAACCTGAGTCCTATCAGCCGGCGGGATCGCCCTTTTCTTTCTTAATAGCCATCAGCTTATCGCCTTGGTTGGCAGGGGAATCGGCCATAACGGAAGGAAATCAAAGAGAAAAAAGGAAGAAACAAGCAAGCAAATGAGCAAATAGTACTTAATTTAAATCAAGCACACGAAAACTGTAAACTTCGCCTAAATTCTTTTCGCAAACAGAAGCAAAAGAGGAGAAGGAGAAAAGCAAGAGCAAACAATTACGATTCTTTAAATAAAAGAATGAAAAAAGAAGTTACCTTGAAAAAGAGTGGAGACGTGTGCGGTTAACGAAGAGGTGAGATGGGGAAAACTGCATTTATATACAGTAATCATTCCATTCGCCGAAAATAAATCCGAAAAAATTTCTTTTCCCTCTCTCTACCCTTGGAAATCCCAACCGTCTTGTCATCGATAAGGATGAATTATTTATTTATACTGCTTCCCGATATTCGCTTTCAAATCCAATCGAGTAAACAATATTTTATGTTTATCACCGAAAGGATATTTACGCTTTTCCCTCAGCAAGAATTTCGCGGGCTCAGAAAATATAGCGAGCTCCTGCCAAAGAGAATGATATATCGCCAATCAGGCTTCCCACTGCGTCTGATGGGCTGGGGGGCAACTGTTGGACCAGGATTTGTCACCAAATCCAGCCCGCTAATTGGCCCATCAAAACCACTCTTGAAGGATGTCCATGTTCCGAACGTAAGGCCCAACAAAGGAATTGGAGAAAGGAAGGATAAGAAGAAAACGGTTCAAAAGGATGACGCGAGATCCGGAGCTCGTGCAGATAACGGATTGCGGGATACGCGCTGAAGCTAACGAAGGGAAAAGAGTATTTAAAGAGGGAAAGTTTTGTGGAAAAGCCAACTAAAAAAATATATACGAACAAAAGAAATATTCGCTCTACGAGCTCTTGTATCAAACAACATCGATCTCTTGTAAACGATCTCTCGATTCAATCAATAAAAAGTCCATTTATTTATTCTCGATCTTAAGTTCAGTTGCTCAAATAGAGATTCTTACCCATCATTTTTCTAATATCATCTAAACACTTCACAAATCTTTGAATGTGGATATCTGCATCCACACTCAGTCTCCGGCTTGAACCAATCAGACCAATATTTTGGTACGGTAAAGTGCATACTTTGGTATGCTTTATTTTTGATGATAACTGGTAACCAAAGGAATGATAGAGAATAATAAATTCTTCTTCATTGTTTAATTTTTACCATTTACTAGCAATATTGTTTCCACATAATTCATTACTATTCCCTAATCTAAAAAGAATTATTGAACAAAACTATTTCTTATCAAATTTGAAAAAAGACAAAATATATTTATTTATTTATTTATTTTTATTTCATTCTTATTCATTTTTATTATTTTGTTCTTTTCATTTTTTTCTTTTTCATTTAATGGTCACGAGTTAGAGAAGTGTACTGAAAAATAGGATCATATGAAGTATTTTGGTAAGCATTTACTTTTCACCGCACAAGGATATTGGTCAGGTCGAGCGTCAAACTGTACAACGATTCAAGGCTTAAAACCCAACCCAAACAATATTCGGCTCAGAAATAAAAACTAACAGGGTTTATTAGTTCATATTAATAGGGTTTACTACTAGTTATTATTTTCTCAACCTAGGCCAGGATTACTTAATTCTCTTCTCTTCTCTCATATACACGATTAGCTAGATTCTGCTTCTCTCTCTTCCTCTAAACAGGTGCAATAATGTGTTCAAGCGTATCTTCGACAACACTTCAAGGCTGGAGAGAACGTCCTCCTTATTCCCATTCACTCAAGATCCAAAAATTTTCCTAACTTAAGAAATCAACTCTCTTCCGATGGGAAGTATGAATCTCGTCTTTTCTCCTCTGGTGGATACAACTGGTACGTACTGCGTACACAAGTCTCAAAGAATTGCATCGTACTCGTCATTCATCATCATAATGATCAATATTTAGATTTTTTTTTTTTTTGGTTTCTGTCGTTTTAGTTTGAAAAAAAAAAATGTTATCATCTCCACTTATGCAATACTGTTTATATAAAAAAAAAACAGGAGGATGGTCATATACCCAAAAGGGAACGACAATGATTTTGGTATTGGTTTTATATCAATGTATGTGGAAATAGATACCACAAGCCTCACGTCTAAGCAACCAAGCGAGGTGTTTGCAGATCTCCGGTTTTTCGTCTATAACAAAAAAGAAAACAAGTACTTTACTATTCAAGGTACGCTTACAATGCATGCACATTTTGTTTTATTATTTATGTGTTAATAAATAATGTGTGTATATATATATATATATATATATATATATATAAATATTCAGATGTAGAATCGAAGTCGTTCAATGCATTAAGAAGGGTGTGGGGATTTCCCCAAGTGCTTTCGCTTGATACATTCAGTGACCCTATAAACGGATATATCTTTGGAGATGAATGCGAATTTGGTGTTGATGTCATTGTTGCACCATCACCTACCAATTGGGAAGTCCTCTCTTTTGATGACAAACCCTCTTATCCCAAGTTCTCTTGGACTCTTAAGAATTTCTCTGACCTGAAAGATACTTTTTACAAATCAAGCAGTTTTTTTGTGAGTGTTAACATTTGCTAAATATTGTCTGTATAGGAATCTACTGCTATATCCCAAGGGCGACAGTAGGATAGTCGATGGCAAGTGGTTGTCTTTTTTTCTGTCGTTGGCTGATAGCGAAACAATCAAAGTAGATGAGAAGATTTTTACGCGATTTCACTTGCGAATTCTAGACCCATTTGGACGCAATCACGTTACAAAGGAGAGTAAGTCATTAAACGCCGTTTATATATTACATTTACATAGTTATATCTCTTAACTAATTCCGTTGGTGGGATGAGACTATTTCTAGATATATACAGAGATATTCATTTAAAATCCAACATTCTCGAAAAACCATGCTTAGATCCTTTTTTTGTTGTTGCAGCTACGTATTGGTACAAATCAAAGTTAGGTTGGGGATTTAGTCAGTTTGTGTCTGTAGCTGAACTTCCGAAGGCTTACTTGGACAAGGAGAGCAGTTTGAATGTAGAAATCGAATTTGACGTCGTTTCTGAAACCAAATGCTCTCTCCCATGACTTAAGCTTTATTCTTAAAATTTTACATCTCCATAAACATCTTCACCTGAGCTGGTTTAAACTTCAGTTTTCTGGTTATTCTGTTGAATAATTTTAGTTACCTTCTATTTGCGGTATTTCTCATTCGGCTGGTTCAAATTGTGGGTTTTATTAAGGCATGTGCATTGTTTTTTTGTGCAATTGCAACAGTAAAATGTTTAATTATCTTGATGATCTATGTTCTTTATTTTTTGGCTTCATATGGATTTGATAATTGCGCCAAATGCGTAAAACAGATTGTGTGGGATGAATTTAACTCGGAAATTTATGTTTGATCATCTTGTTAAAGAATATAAATTTTGGATCGTTTTCGAGAATATCTATTCTGTTTCCTTGAAAGGTTTTTGCATTATTTCTATGTTATAAACATATACCACATAGTCGAAGAGGTGACGAAACTTTTGTTTTTGTTTTTTTTGTAGTGAGGAGGAAGTTTTTAGATTATATATTTAGTTATTGAAAAAGACAACAAAAAAAAAAAAACAATAATCTCTTAAAGAATTTTGACCCAAAAAAATCTCTTAAAGAAAAAAAAGAAAAAAACTAAATTTAAACAAATTAAAATTTACTGTAGACGAAAGAGTGGCCTGTACAACGAATTTTATTTATCAATACATCAATAACACCAATGTCTCTCCTAGAGATGACACATCAGCATTTTGGAGTTTTCTGAAGATGACACCTCAGTAAAAATATTCACCAATCAAAATATTTTATTAATATAACTTATCTACTCATTTTAGTTTTTAAATTTAAATGCATTAAAAATCCAAATACTTTTTCTATTAATCTTTATTTTATTTTTAACCAAACCCAAGCCCAAATAATTAATAACAATATATTAAAAATTATTTATTTTATTTTTTACCAAACTCAAGCACAAATAATAAATAACAACAAATAAAAAATCAAATCTTTGTTTTTGATTGGCAACACAATTTTTTTTGTTTTTCATAGATAATGTGATTTCTTGGTTTTCGCATGAAAATACATTTCACCATTTTTTCGGAAAAATGCAATTTGACAATTTTGGCGGAAAAATACAATTTCTCAGTTTTGTTAGGAAAACACGATTTCTCGGTTCGACGAGAAAACATTTTTTCTTGGTTTTGGCGGGAATAAAGAATTTCTCTTGTTTGCCCAGAATAAGAGATTTCTTGGTTTTGGTAGGAAAATGTGATTTTCAATTTTGGTGGCAAAACATAATTCTTTGATTATGGCAGAAAAAACAAATTCTCGGATTTGACGAGAAATATGAATTTTTAGTTTTGGTGACCAAAAAAAAAATAAATTTGACGGGAAACAAAATATCTTAGTTTTGACGGGAAAATGCTCGGTTTGATGAGAAATGCAACTTTTTCAATTTTGACAAAAATGCGATTTCTCAGTTTTAATAGAAAATGCAAAATTTTCGGCTTTAGATGGATAACACGATTTCTTGGTTTTCAAACGAAAATGTGATTTTTTTTAGTTTTTGCTAAAAATTAAGATTTGACAATTTATGCGGAAAATGCAATTTCTCGATTTGATGGGAAAAGAAAGTTTTTCAATTTTGGCGAAAATAAGCAATTTCTTGGTTTAGATGAGAAATGCAACTTTTTGATTTTTTTTTTGTTTTCTCAGGAAAATACAATTTCTTAGTTTTTACGGGAAAACACAATTTCTCGGAAGATTATGCAATTTTTGGTTTTTGCGAAAATTTGTAGTTTATTTGTTTTAGTAGGAAATCGCGATTCTTGGGTTGACGAGAAAATAAATTTTTGGTTTTGGCGGGAATAGAAGATTTCTCGGTTTTTGCAGGAAAATATTTTTTTTTTTGTTTTGATGGGAAGATACGATTTTTTTATTTTTGCAGGAAGATGAAATTTTTTGGTTTTGGTGAAAAAACGTGAATTTTTCGGTTTTGACGAGAAAACATAGGTTCTCGCGGGAAAATGAAATTTTAGGTTTTAGGTTTGACGAGAAAATAATTTTTTGGTTTTGGCGAAAATAGAAGATTTCTCAGTTTTTGCAAAAAATATTTTTTTGGTTTTGATAAGAAAATACGATTTTTTTTTATTTATGCACGAAGATGAAATTTTTTGGTTTTGGTGAAAAAACGTGATTTTTTTTTTGTTTTGGTGAGAAAACATGCGGGAATAAGCGCTTTCTCAGTTTCATGGAAAAATAAAGTTTTTTTTTGAAAATGCGATTTCTCGATTTTTGTAAGAAGATAAAATTTCTCTGTGCTAAATTTCCAAGTTAAAGCATGTTTACAATAACCAAAATTTAATTATTTAACTTCAACTAAAACGTTATTTCAATAGCTCAAACCAAATTTTCTATTTAGTTCTAAAGCAATAACAATGATTTTGATATGAATGTTATTGATTATAGTTTGGTAGTTTTAGAAACATATGTTTATAATAAATATTTGATAAATAAATAAATTTTATAATTTAAGATAATCATATTAATTAATAAATCTTTTTTAAATAATAATTTGGTTTATATAATTACAAAGGAGAATCAAGTGACAATTTATTGGAGAAAATAGATTACATTTGCCATTAGCATGAAGATATTAAAAAATATATTGATTTATTCTTACATATACATATATAATTAGTTAGCTAAACAAATTTAATAGTAAATTATAATTTCAAAAAATAAAAAAATTAAGTATATACAATGTTTATTCAAATTAAAAACATATAAATACATAACCTACGCTAATAAAAAAATATAATACTCATTTACATTATAAAAATAATTTTATTATATTAAAAATATATAGAAAATTTAGAAAAATATTCTGCAGCATAGCGCAGGTAAATACCTAGTTTTCACAAAAAAAACAATACACATTTATTTTCACAGTGAATTTTAATTTGTTTATTTTAGTTATTTTCTTTTTTAATCTGGTCGAGAGTGGCCTGTACAACGATTTAAGGCTTTAAACCCAGCCCAAAAATAAAAACTAACAGGTATTCTCATTCGTACATATTAATAGGTACTTTTTTAACCTAGGGTTTCCTTATTTCTCTTCTTCGCTCACATACGATTGGGTAGCTAGATTCTGCTTTTCCCTCTTCCTCTATTCAGGTGAAATCATGGGTTTAAGCTTCTCTTCGACAACTCTGCAAAGCTGGAGAGAGCGTAGTCCTTCCACATTCTCACTCAAGATCAAAAAAATTTCCCAACTGGAGAAATCAACTCTCTCCTCTAATGAAAAATTTGAATCCTGTCTTTTCTCCTCTGGTGGATACAACTGGTACGTACTGCGTATTCACTTAGCATATTATTTTTAATATCAACTATAGCTAGTATGTTTTTCGTCCTTGTAATTTGGAAAAATATGTATCACCCTACCTTATTTAGTCTTGTTTATAAATTAAAAAAAAAATGCAGGAGAATGCACATATTCCTGAAAGGAAACGAAGAGGACAACGGAAGTGTGTTTATTTCAATGTATGTGGAAATAGATAGTACGAGCCTCATGTCCACACCACCACGCGAGGTGTTTGCAGATCTCCGGTTTTTTGTCTTTAACAAAAATGAAAACAAGTATTTTACCATTCAAGGTACGTATAAAGTGCATGTCTCATATAGTTCATGTTTAATTTGATTATAATATTTTTTTGTGTCTGCACGTGCGTTTCTGTGAGTGTACTTAACGTTAACATCTGCTAATAATTTTTTTGTAACTGGGTATTCAAATAAAAGCATGAGAAATAAAAAGTTTTACAGAGCTCATTACGAGCCCAGTTACTGGAAGCCCAGGAAGATACAAACTAAATTAGAAACTCATAGTTAAAATAGAACCAAATCTGAACTTTCATGAACCAGAATTAAAATCAAACCGAAAAGTTGGTTATGAGATAGTCTACGAAGCCAACCGTTTTCTGCAGAAGCTCGATCGGAGAGAGAGACCAAAAATTTTGGGTGAAATTAATCTGCGGAGGTTTTAAGGGAGGGTGGATCCAGCAAACCAAAGCTGAAGGAGATCAGAAGCTAATGAGTTGTTTGATTCACGGATGCTAGAAGCTCTGTTCCTCACAAGCAAATCAATTTGCCTGAGTATCAGGTCCGGCGTTTTGAAGGAGTTGCGATGAAGCCGACTGTTTCTCTCCAGCCAGATGTAATAGATTGTCGCCTGCCAAGCAATTAGGAGAAGTTTCCGGGTAGGTTGAGATCTCGGGATAGAGGAAAGAGCTAAGATTGAATCATTCCAAGATCTGTGTGGAGAGTGATTGCAGATTTGGCTGACCCGAGACCAGACCCGCCAGGAGTAAGAGCATTCAAAGTACAAGTGGTTGCGGCTTTCCTCCTCCGAACCACAAAGAAGACACACAGCATCAAATGGCAGACCCCAGTTCCTCATCCTGTCCCGCGTTGGGCACCTATTCAAGACCATCAGCCAAGTATGGAATTTATGCTTCGGGATGCCATGGGAGATCCATACCAATCTGTACCAAGGTACAAGAGGTTTATGTTCTCTAATAGCAGAATAAATTGCCCCTGTGTTTGCCTTTGATTTAAGATTTTCATCAATCCACCAATTAATAAGCATCATCCCCTTCTGAAATGACTAGGCAAGACAATTGAGCTTGATAATTGACTTGTTTTTCAGAACGCGCAGGAGGGAGGTGCCAACAGCCCTCACGCCATAGTTGAGCAAGACGAGTCTTCTTCGGGATTCCAATTTGTCGTGGACCTTCATTGCCAAGGTAGGCAGACAATCTTCCTAATTCACACCAGTTATCAATCCAGAACCGACATAACATACCATTACCGATCTTCATCTTGATCCAAGGATAAACCAATTCTCTCGATTTTAGCATTTTGTTTGCTAACCATGTGTATTTCTGGTTTGGTTTCTGAGTCCAGAAATTTCCTAGGCAATTAGAGAGAATTTCTTTTCTGAACCAAGCAACCCAAACAGACCCCGCTTTGAAGAACAGCAGCCAGATTAGCTTCAGGAGGGAAGCAGTATTCCAGGTCTGTAAGTTTCGGATTCCAAGTCCTCCTTCTTTTTTGTCCATTGTAACTGTTTCCCAAGCTACCTTTGCTGAATGATGACCTTCAGTTGTACCTTTCCATAGAAAAGCGCTGGAGAGAGAGTTGATTTGATCAATGCATTTTTTTGGAAGAATAAAAGCTGTGCACCAGAAGTTAGTTAGCCCTGAGATCACTGAATTGAGCAGCTGCAGTCTACCGGCGAATGAGAGGGATCTAGCAGACCAGCCATTAAGACGGTTTTTCACTTTTTGGAGAAGCGGAGCACAATCTAGCAAGGTTAGTTTTTTCGTACAAAGAGGCAAGCCCAAATATCTCACCGGCAGGACACCATGATTTATGCCTGAGGCAAGCTTGATTTGTTCGATTTCAGGTTGAGAGAGTCCCGCCGAGTAGAAACAAGTCTTGGGGAGACTGATGGCCAAACCAGAGATATATTCAAAATCTTTCAACACTTGCATTACACTTTGGACAGATGCCAGAGATCCATCCAGGAAAATTAACAAGTCATCTGCAAAACAGAGGTGACTGACTCTTGAGGCCTTGCATTTGTAATGGTACTTGAAACGACCCTCTACAGCTGCCTTGTCTAGCATTTCTGATAGGTAATTCATCGCTACAACAAATAGATATGGAGAAAGAGGATCTCCTTGTCTGAGACCTCTTTTACCTTTGAAGTAGCCATGAACATTACCATTATAACCCACAGAAAAGGATGGAGTACAGACGCAAGCTTGGAGCCATCTGAGAAAAAGCTTCGGAACTTCTATGGCACGAAGCGAAGAGAAAATGAACTCCCAGCGAATGGTGTCAAATGCCTTGGCAATATCCACTTTTTTGGTAATTCTCCTAGGACCATTAGCTTTGTGATATCCTTGAACAATTTCTGATGCTAACAATGAGTTTTCTACTAGTAATCGGCCTTTGATAAAAGCAGTTTGGTTTTTGACGATGTACTCTGGGAGAGCAGGTTTGAGACGCGCTACAAGCAATTTTGAGATAAGCTTGTACATGGTATTACAACAGGAGATGGGCCTGAAATCTGAGACGAGTGTGGCACCCGGAAACTTTGGGACCAAAGCTAGGGTAGTAGCATTGATGGCAGATGGCATAAAAGCTGAGGCAAAGAACTGAGAGATGCCGTCAATGACATCTTTTCCAATAATACTCCAAGCAGCTTTATAGAAGGCCGATGAGAGTCCATCTGGTCCGGGCGTTTTATTAGGGTTAAGCTTGAAAAGAACATTCTTAATTTCCTCAGGAGAAGGCAAGGAGACCATTGTTTGTTTCAGGGCAGCACTGCATCGATAAAGGACAAGACTCTGGAGCGAAGTGGGCGGGCAAGAGATGGGGAGGAGGATCGGAGGCGCCAAAATGGATGTAAAGTGAGAAACCGCTAGAAGACACATACCCTGAGGGTCAGATATCAGAGTCCCAGAGATAGTGGAGAAGGACCGAATAGCATTGAAAGCATTTCGTGATTGGACCACTCTGAAGAAGAAAGAAGAGTTTTGGTCTCCCTCCTTTAGCCACTGGATCCGTGATTTTTGTTTGAGGTAAGACTCTTCTAGGGATCTTAGGAGAATCCAACGGGAGTGGAGAGCCTTTTCCTCTTGAAATAGCGATGGGGAAGGATTGGACAGCGCCAGTACCTGCACAACTTGAAGCAGCTCGTTAGTCTCTCTAACTCTCTTTTGAATATCAGAAAAAGTCTCACGACTAAGTGATTTTAACTCTCTTTTTAGAAATTTTTGTTTTACACTCAGTAAAGTCAAACTTGGCTGCTGATGAAATGTGTTTCCAGCTTGAATCCATAAAGTTCCAATCAAGGGGAGGAAGGAAGGCTGTTTAGTGAGGCAATTGAAGAATTTAAAAGGTTTTGTCCCTGCCTGAGGGAGAGAAGCGGCTAGATTGAGGAGGCAGGGAGCATGATCTGAGATATCTGGAGGAAGAAAGGTAGCCACACTGTCCGGATACGTAGTGAGCCAATGATTATTAACAAGTAGACGATCGAGCTTTTTTGCAATCGGATCCAAAGGCTGCCTATTTGACCATGTGAAGGTAGGACCTTGAAACCTTAAATCAAATAAATCCAGATGCATGAGACAGTCCCTCATCTCGAGCATATCACTAGTAAGATGGTTGATTTCAGGCGCAGAGTGTTCAGACGGGTGAATAATTTGGTTGAAATCTCCTCCAACGAGCCAAGGGCCATTATCAAGAGAAAGAGTATGATGAATATCAATAAGCTCACACCACAAGTCTGATCTATCAGAGCTCAAATTGGAGGCATAAATGGCAGTGAAACAAAAATTGTGACCACCAGTAATGGTCACGTGACAGGTGATCTGCTGCTTGGACTGACTGAGAACAGTAATAGTAGCCGGGTGCTTGTAGATGATAATGATTCTACCGTCTTCATCCGAAAGGTGATTGGAGACAAAGTTCCACCCAGGACAAGTAAGAGATAAGATTTGGTTCAGATTAGGTTCTTTAATATGAGATTCTAATATAGTACCAAAAGAAGGCTTATAAGTAGTTAACCAATTAGAAAAAATCCGATGTTTGCCCCGGTTATTTAATCCGCGGACATTCCAAAAAAATGAATTAATATTCATTAGGAAGAAAGAGAATCCCCTCCTTTAGAGGAGAGAGGTTCCGAAAATGAAGTGGTATTATGGTGAGAAGGAATATCTATCGCCATATCAGAGGTATCAGAGGACGAAGACTGATTTTGCTGAGGAAGATTTGGATGTCCGGGGTCAGAAAGAGGTTCCCCAGACGCAGCTAGATGAGAAAAGGAGTTGGATATATTTAGGGGATTCAAAGGAATAGTAGGAGTGTTTTTCTCCTTAGCAGAATGCTTTTTGGGTGTTTGAACAAAGCCCTCAGTAGAGGTTTGATGGGTAGGAGAAGAACCTAGAGAGGACTGACCATCTGAACCAATCTCTATAGACTTGCCTTTGGAAATGGACATCACAGCAGGAAGACTGATTGGAGCAGAGGGAAGCCCTTCAGACACAAGAGTACCTTTCTTATTCTTGCCGTTGTTCTCTTTTAAACTTTTGTCTTTTGATTCGACCCCTACAGATTTGATTGGAGCAGTTGTAGCAGAAGGAGGAGGAAGACTCGGACAATATCTTAAAACGTGACCAAGTTATTTACAATGAGAACAAGTTGGGGGCACCCAAAGATACTCAACATCCACAGTGACAATCTCGCCACTCTGTCTGAGGACCTCCACTGACGACGGGAGATGTTTATTTAGGTTGGCCTCCACTTTAACATGAGCTATAGTTAAACTAACCAAGTTTCTGGTGAACTCATCCATCTCTTTAGGTTCACCCACAAGTCCGGCAACTAAGCTGATTCCTTTGTGATGCATCAGGTCAAAAGGCATGCCTTTGAGATGAGCCCAGATCGGAATAGCATCCAGATTTTGAGAAGCTCCTCCCGTGGAATCCCATTGAGCAACTAAGAACATGCATTCTCCAATGTATCACATCTTTTTATTGAGGATTTTTGTACGAAGAGATTCGTTTGAAATTCTCACAAGCATTGATCTATTGATGGTATTTAGGTGGATTTCAAGGCGTTGGCCTCTTCCCCACATGTGGCTGAGTACATTCTGGATGTGAGTATACGTAGGAGGTCTGCCCAAAAACCGGCTAATGATAAAGTCTTTATGAAGCTCAGCCCCTTCTTCAAATACAGAGTCAGGGATTGCCACTCTTGGTTTACCTTCCGGAGAGTAAGAAATTGGCGCTAGTCTTTCCAGTTTTCTGTCTGCATCTCTGTTTACTTTTTGGGCCCAAGTCGTAGTAGCATGGTTAACTGGAGGAGGAACAGTAGGAGGGGGGACATAGTCAGTATCTTTGTTCAGTTTAGCAGAAGCCTCAGAGGAGGGGGTAATGGAAGCGCTTCCGCTAGGAGAATCTATAAATGGAGGGTTGAGATCATCATTTGCATTAACAACTTTTTCAGGATCAGTAGCTACCACCCCAGGAGAAATCTCAGAGTAAATGTCAATTGAAGCCAAGCAGGGAGCAGCAGCAGGAGCCGAACTTAATCCCAAAGGAGAGGGAGGAAAAGGAGGAGGAGGAAGGAGACCTTTAGAAAAAGGCAAAATAGTAAAAGGGTTAAGAGAAGTCCTAGATCCAGTAGAAAATTTTCCAGATCTAGGGTTTGGACCCACTAAATTTAGGGAAAAATTTGCAATTGACTGATGTTGTGGGCGAACAACAACAGGAGTGGAAACGTGATGAGCTTGTAAAGCAAGAACTACTTTCTTAGGCTCAACATAAGCAATAGGAGACAAGTTTTGGGAAGGAGAGATTGGAGAAGAAGCAGAAAGAGGGGAAAAAGGGGGAAATTCAGAAAGGGAAAGGAGAAAGGAAGGATCTGGGGGATCTGGAGGGAAAGGAGGAGGATGAGGGGAACTACTTTCAGCCATAGCTGAAGGAGGATTCAAGCCGGAAGCACTTTCAGCAGGGAACCAGCGGTTCACCAGAACGAGCATTTTTTTGGGGATTAACTTTGCTTCTTCTCTCGTAACATCTGCTAATAATTGATATCTTTAAGTATCTACTGTTATATCCCAAGGGAGACAGTAGGATAGTCGATGGGAAATGGTTATCCATTTATCTGTGTTTGGCTGATAGCAACACATTAAAAGAAACGAAGATTTTTGCGCGATGTCATTTGCGAATTCTTGACCCATTTGGATGCAATCACGCCACAAGGGAACGTAAGTCATAAAACACTCTTTATTACGATGTTATTTTCCTTAAGCTAACACCTGTTGATGAGATGGTGACTATTTCTAGATGTATAGAGAGATGTTTATTTGGAATTTAACATCCTCAAATAACCATTTTTTACATTCTTCTTTTGTGTGGCAGTTGGGAGTTGGTTCAAGTCAAAGACAGGTTGGGGAATTCCTCAATTTGTGTCTGTGGCTGAACTTCCAAAGGCTTACTTGGACAAGAAGGGAAGTTTGAATGTAGAGATCGAGTTTGATGTTGTTTCGGAATCTAGATACTCTCTCCCATCATGACTTAAGCTCCACGTTTAGAATTTTACATTTCCATAGTCATCTTCACCCGAGCTGGTTTAGACTCTAATTTGCTGGTTTAACTTTTTGTCTTACAATTTTATTTACCCTCTACGTACTTGGGGTATTTCTGATTGAGCTGGTTTAATTTGGTGTTGTTATTATATGCACTGATTTTCTTTTCTAATTGGACTGTAAATTGGCCTATAATACCAAACCCAAACGTTAAGAGGCCGAAAAGCCGAAACTAAACCAAACGCAAGAATGTTAATCTTTACACAAGGACAAAAAATAACTGACGTCCTAACCAACACCCAATGGCAAAATCGACGAGCCTAATTTAAGGTTCTGAACTAAAGTCACAAAGCATCTACTGGGAAGTTGTCTCTTTTAAATAGAAACTCGTTAAACCCTTATTGGAGTGTTGAATAATCTTATAAAATACATATCTAAAAGTTATTGGGAGGAAATAATATTGGTGACTAACAATCGGAACCCATATCGAACCAAGGAAATATTCATTTAATTTAGAAAATTTAATGTGAACACTTGAGTTCACGAATCAAGAGTCACTAACTCATGGCTTTTCGTATTCTAACACCATTATTATCAGACTGCTTCCACTTCCCTTGAATGTTATTTCCGAGAGACTCGTTGTCCATTAAAAGAAGCAAAAACGCTTCATATTCTCTCTCGCCCTCTCTCTCTCTCTCTATAAGTATATAATTTTTTTTTAGCAATCTTCCAAATTTCTTGAGTTACAATACATTTTTGGGTTCAGGAAGTTCGTTTTTGTGTTAAAATTATGATATCAAACATGTCTTTTACTACTCTTCATGGCTGGAGAGAACGTCCTCCTTATTCCCATTCACTCAAAATCCAAAACTTCTCTCAACTCGAGAAATCAACTCTCTCCTCCAATGGGAAGTATGAATCTCGTATTTTCTCCTCTGGTGGATACAACTGGTACGTACTGCGTATACACTTACTGCCGCAAATCTCAAAAAAATGCATCTTACTCGCCATTCATCATAATAACGATCAATTGTTTTTGGTCAAGAACAATTATCAATATTTAAATCTTTTTATTTTATTTTGTTTATGTCGTTTTATTTTGAAGAAAATGTTATCATCTTCACTTATGCAATACTGTTTATAAAAAAAATTCAGGAGGATGGTCATATACCCAAAAGGGAACGACAATGATTTGGGTATTGGGTTTATATCAATGTATGTGGAAATAGATACCACAAGCCTCTCGTCTAGGCAACCGAGTGAGGTGTTTGCAGATCTCAGGTTTTTCATTTATAACAAAAAAGAAAACAAGTACTTTACTATTCAAGGTACGCTTACAATGCATACACATTTTGTTTTATTATATATGCTTAATAAATAATGTGTGTATATATGAATATTCAGATGTAGAATCGAAGTCGTTCAATGCGTTAAGAAGGGTGTGGGGATTTCCCCAAGTTCTTTCGCTTGATACATTCAGTGACCCTATAAACGGATATATCTTTAGGGATGAATGCGAATTTGGTGTTGATGTCATTGTTGCTCCAACCCCTACCAATTGGGAAGTCCTCTCTTTTGATGACAAACTCTCTTATCCCAAGTCCTCTTGGACTCTTAAGAATTTCTCTGAGCTGAAAGAGAATAATTACAAATCAAGCAGTTTTTCAATGGGAGGAAGGACATGGTGAGTAGATATGTTTGGACTAATAAATATGTATGTTTGCGCATGCGTTTTTTTTGTGTGTGTGAGTGTTAACATTTGCTAAATATTCTATGTATAGGAATCTACTGCTAAATCCCAAGGGCGACAGTTTGATAGTCGATGGCAAATGGTTATCCCTTTATAAAAGAAGATGAGAGGATTTTTACGCAAGCTCATTTGCTAATTCTAGACCCATTTGGATGCAATCACGTCACAAAGAAGAGTAAGTCATAAAACACTGTTTATATATTACATTTACATAGTTATATGTCTCTTAACTAATTCCGTTGGTGGTGATGAGACTATTTCTAGATATATGCAGAGATATTCATTTAAAATCAAACATTCTCCAAAAACTATGCTTACATCCTTTTTTGTTGTTGTCGCAGTTACGTATTGGTACAAATCAAAGTTAGGTCGGGGGTATGGTCGATTTGTGTCTGTGGCTGAACTTCCAAAGGCTTACTTGGACAAGGAGAGCAGTTTGAATGTAGAGATCGAATTTGACGTCGTTTCTGAAACCAAATACTCTCTCCCATGACTTTAGCTCTATTCTGAAAATTTTACATTCCCATAAACATCTCCTGAGCTGGTAACACTTCAATTTCCTGGTTTAATTCTGTTTAAAAGTTTTAGTTACCTTCTATTTGGGGTATTTCTCATTCGGCTGGTTCAAATTTGGGGTTTTATAAGGCATGTGAATTGTTTTTTTTTTTTTTTTTTTTTTTTTTGCAATTGCAACAGTAAAATTTCAATTATCTTGATGAGATATGTTTTTAACTTTTTGGCTTCATTTGGATTTGATAATTGCGCCAAATGTCTAAAACAGATATTGTGGGAGGAATTTAACTCGAAAGTTATGTTCGATAACCTTGTTGAAGAATATAAAAAAATTGATCGATTTGGAGAATGGCTATTCCGTTTCCTTGAAAGATTTTTGCATCATTTCCATGTTATAAACATATACCACATGATCGAAGAGGTGACGATAAACTTTTTTTTTTTTTTCAGGGAGGAGGAAATTTTAGTTTTAATTTTGGTTATTGAAAAGTAAAAAATACTAAGCTACAACAAATTTTCTTTTAATTAATTTACGTGCCGATGTTGGCTTTCCCGTGGCCATCCTTTTATTCCCACCATCGGCATGTCTCATATATACCTCGGTTCAACCGTGTTAAAAAAAAAAAAACAATTATCTTTAAAGCAAAAAAGAATTCAAGTTTTTTTTTTTTCCGATCCCCAAAGCGACGAGAATTTAAAGTATAGCTCTAAATTTCTTTCTTATCTCAAAAGCCAAAAGAATCTCTGGAGAGCAAAGATCAATCTAAATAGTGATTTCTTTCAGCCTGAAGTAAACAGAAAAAAATTGATGTTAAGGAGACAAAATGTGACCACTTCAAAATTTTCGACGAACAACTTCAACTCTCACTCAAGAGCGAGAGATTCTGACTACTTAAACCGGGAAAATCACGATCCGGTCGACAGAGACATGCAGTTCCGCGAGACAACTATCCATGTATATTTAAAAGCGCCGATTTTTTATAGCAACTCTATCATATTAAGGCTCTGAATGTCTGCTCAGTCCACTCCAGCTTGAACCAATCAGACCAGTAGTTTGGTACTTATGATTTATTTTTGAAGTGGACTGAAAAATCGGACCACATTCAATATTTTGGTATGCATTAACTGTGCACCGCATAATAAACATTTACTGTATTAGTCTAATTTTGGTCTGGTCGAGAGTGGACTGTACAGGCTTTAATGTGGACTGTACAACTATTTAAGGCTTAAAACCCAACCCAGACAATAATCGGCCCAAAAAAAAAAATTAGGGTTCACTCATTTCTCTGCTCTTCTCTTCTTCGCTCACATACGATTGATTGGGTAGCTAGATTCTGCTTTTCTCTCTTCCTCTACTCAGGTGCAATAATGGGTTTAACTTTATCTTCGACAACTCTGCAAAGCTGGAGAGAACGTAGTCCTTCTTCATACTCACTCAAGATCAAAAAGTTTTCCCTACTCGAGAAATCAACTCTCTCCTGTAATTCTATACATCTAGAATTAGTCTCATCTCATCAACAGGTGTTAGCTAAGGAAAATAACATGGTAATAAAGAGTGTTTTATGACTTGATTTAAGGAACGGGATTTGTATGTTAAATTCCAAATAAACACCTGTTGATGAGATGAGACTAATTCTAGATGTATAGAGAGATGTTTATTTAGAATTTAACATTCTCAAATAACCCTTCTTACCTTCTTTCTTTTGTTTGGCAGTTGAGGATTGGTACAATTTAAGGAACGGTTGGGGATATGCTGAATTTGTGTCTGTGGCTCAACTTACAAAGGCTTACTTGGACAAGGAGGGAAGTTTGAATGTGGAGATCGAATTTGATGTTGTCTCTGAAACCAAATACTCTTTCAAACGCCCGCAAGGTGGTGGCCGAGCTTGGTAAATGGTGAAACTCCCACATTCAGGTTCTATTTTTCTTTCTTGCTGTTAACAACACTTTGTTGGGATGGAAATTGACTTGGTAGTTAGAAATGCAAACCGCAGTGCGGTTGCTCTTTGGATCTATTTCATCCCTTTATATAACATCTTGACGTGAGCTCCTGATTTTTTCTTCTTTCTTTTTGTTTAGCAATTTCACTTTCCTTCTATTTGGGGTATTTTTGATTACACAAGGATAAATTAAAAAAAGTGCCTTAACCAAGATCGACCGTAAGGCAAAAGAGATCCACTTAGCAAACGAAAAAGAGCCCACAATGAACGATTTGGTAGCGGATGAGAGAATTTACAAGTATATATATTCTCAATATAATAACGTTTTAAAATTTCGACTCGAACTTATTTTCAATACATTTGATGCCATCTAGTAAAGGAATATATACCATTTATTTTACTAGAATCATTAGTCTCTTGCCATCTAGCAAGTTTGAAGTTTCCCTTGTAAAAATAAAACGCATCATTAATTTATATGCTTAGCCATTCTCTGTTTGCGTTGTGTGTTAATTTTATTTAAGCCTTTTTGTTAACATCAAAGCGTTTATGACGGTACTTTTGGTTATAAGAAAAAAACTAAGCTACAACAAATTTTCTTTTAGTAATAATTTACGTGCCGATGTTGGCTTTCACGTGGCCATCCTTTTATTCCCACCATCGGCATGTCTATCTCATACTATATGATATATCTCGGTTCAACCGAGTAAAAAAAAACAAAAACAATTATCTCTTTAAAGCAAAAAAGAAAAGAAAATAACACAAAATATATAATTCACTGTGAAATAAAGAAGACGAAAAGAGAGATCCGAATCCTACATCTCATCTGTAAATCGGTCACAAAAAAATATATTTTAAAAAACCAAAAACAAAACAACCAAAAGTCGCAGAATTTTTGTTCAGATCTTCTGAAATATCCAAACCTCACAGACAACGGCGAGTGACAATGCTTTGCTATGTCGGAAAAGCCACAAAGATTTTCATTTTCATCGTCACCGTCGTAGTCGTCATTGGTGTCGTCGTAGTCTTCGGTGTCCTCCGTCGACACTCCCACCAGTGCTCCGGCGACTACTGCTCATCTTCCGCCGACTCTTCTTCTTCTTCCTCTTCTTCTACTCCCCCTTTCATAACTCCGTTTCCTTATCCTAACCCGAATCCAAATCCGAACCCGCCTGTTCTTGGATCTTCCCCACCAGCTCCACCCGATTCATCATCACCAAACCCGTCTGTTCCAATTTCCCCAAATCCGCCGGCGCCGATCGTAAACCCCGATTCGCCTCCGCCTCCGCCTCCGTCTACGTCTAATCCGAATCCTCCGCCGCAATTTCCACCTCCTCCGCCGGATTCGGATACAACAATCGCACCACCTCCGCCTACACCGCAGATTTCAATCTCGCCACCGCCTCCAGCGGCAGTATCGGCATCGCCGCCGTTGAATCCTCCGAGCTCCGTCGTCAATGCTCCCGGTCCCGTGCATGCTAAGCTGGTCAACGACTAAACTAGACCATATCTTTGTAAATTCCGCCATTTTTTTTTTCTCACTTTCTTGTTTATTGAAAACATACTTTCTTGTTCTTGAACTTGATTCGTTTGTTTTTTTCTTCTTTTCTAATTAGCTCAAATTTTCTAGTCTTTAAATCAAGTTGATTTTCATGAAATACATATATATGACTTCACCATGTAGTAAGATAGATCGAATGTTGAACACATTTTGTTGTCTTACTAATTTCCAAATGATCATGGGGAGTGAGTTGTCAAGCTATCTTTATCACATGATTAATGATCGACAAAAGATAATTTTGTTTTAAGTTAAGTGCTCCTAATTGTTTGTTTTAACTTCTAAGTTAATTAAAACCCTTAATTAATCGAGAATCATTGTCTTAACGTTCGCCAGTCAAATCACCTTTTTCTGCTGGTAAACTAGAATAATTATTTTTTTTAGTCTATTCTACATTATTAACTTTGAAAATAATTCAAGAATGCGTTGTGTGTAACTGTGAAAATTTGAAAATAATTAGTGAGGAGGGGGCAGAGACAACAAGAGGTGGGTGAATGGGTTAAGAATCCCATGAAATTTTGTCTGACTAATTTTGACTATTTCATCTTTGTGAAACTCTAGTCATTGCTCCGTAGCCCTTTTTCGTTCTTTGCTTTACTTTACCTTTCCTGCTATTTCAATAATTATTAATAGTAACATATACTTTATTATATGTGAATTTCGTATACTACAGTCTACACTCAAATATACTTTTACAAGGGTTTTATGAAACCTGAACATTTGATTGATGTTTAGTGCATTAACAGCTTTGCAAGGTGTCCGTAGAAGTCCTTAGTTAATAAGTCGACATCTTTTTTGGGTAATGGAAGCAACATTACCTACTTATTTGTGTGTATTAAATGCTGAATTACTAACAACATCCAAGTTTTAATGTTTTAATTAATAGTATGGACTAATTTCAAGAAAAAAATATATTTTATAATGGGCTTTACTCAATAGGCCCAGATAAAAAAAAATAATTTTAAAAATGATCTAAAAACTCAACGAAGGTGAGATTAATTTGGGATACCTTGTGAAAGTTCTAACGACACAATGTTGGGCTCAGAAGAATTTATTAGAGTTTTGCTCTATTGGGATGAGATAAATTCAAGCATTGCATTTCCAAACAATAGCTATCAATCTTAATTCTTCAACTTCACTTAGTATATAATAAGCAATCCCATGCCTCAACATATTTAGTCAAAACTGTTTGTACTTTAAAAAAAAAAAATAAGAAACATGAAAAATAACCAAATGAGAGCAATTTCTGTAACAAGAAGCTTTGCGTTGCACAAACGAAACTAATTTCAGGTTTCAGATTCTCTAAATGACTAAACATATCTAGTTATGGGGAACGAACGAATAGTTGAGTTTTAAATTCAGTAAAAGCATAATTTGATTTAATGCTTAATCAAAAGATTCACATCTGATTAGAATATCACTCACTCACTCTGTTGACCGACCCCCTATGGTTAGCACTCGTGGAGTGCCAGCAACCTCATCATTGAACATAATTATATAGTGAGAGGATTACAGGAAAATGCACTTTAGCCAAACTGTTTTCAGAAAAAGGTACTTTTACCAATCTGAGTACTTTGTTGGAATGAAAAGACGACTACATTCTTATTTTATTTTTTCTATAAGAATCTTTAATTTATTTTATGCATTGATATAAAAAAATCAAAATGAACAAATCTGGCTTCTTCAATACGACGAACCCTAACAGTAAAAAGTCTTCGTTCATTTGTTTGATTTCGATTTGAGTTATATCGCAATAGAAGACTGTTGATTTGGATTCGCAGATGAAAACACTCGACACTGGATCTGAAGATTCGCCATGTCGGATCTGCATAACACCGGAAGACAGAGCTATGGTTTTGGATCTGAAGATGAAAATGACAAATTTGGAAAATTAGGTACGGTTGAGTTTGATTTGTTGTTTGTAATCAAAGTTTTCATGAAGATACTTATAGTATTAAGTACTTAAAAGGGTTATTTTAGTGAGATGAAGAATTCAGATGGGTCTCTACGTTTATTATTTAGGTTCAGCCGCCGTAGAAGAGGCAAATCGAGGCTGGACGAAAGCTCCATGAGATGCATCCACGAGCCCGTTCATAGACGATCCTTCAATATATATGAATATAGATGTTATAAACGGCCATCCATGAATTATCATCCATAAATATATTTTAGTAGATGTACAAACTGTCATCCATGATGAAAATGTGCGGCTGTTCCATGTTTATATTCCATCTACAAATTGTCATCCATGAATATATTTTTAGTGACTAAATTGATTGCATCCACAAACTTCCATCCATGGAAGAGTATACTTTGAATTGAAAAAGTTGATGTTCACATGGATGTATATATTTTATTACTGTGTGGATAGTGTTGTTTTCTGTTTGTAGAGTTGTAATAATTGTATTAAGCCATCTACAAGGGGTCATCCATATTGGGGTCTTGAAACATCCTTGTACATGACCGTGTAACCCAATGTTCATGCATCCCACTAGTTTTCAATTGTGTTCTATTTGTAGGGATTAACCAAATGTGTATAAATGAGAGGTATTCCTTGGATGTAACTGCGTGGACAGTGTTTGTATTTCTGTTTGTAGTGTTGTAATAATCTATAAGCGTGAGTATTTTAGTACACATCTACTGTTGGTTATCCACCGAGAAACGTCCATAGTTGTTAAGCGCATGGACAATGTTGTCGCTTGAATACTTAAGTATGCATCCACAGTTGGTTATCCACCGACAAACGTCCATAGTTGTGAAGCGCATGGACAATGTTATCGCTTGAATACTTAAGTATGCATCCACAGTTGGTTATCCACCGACAAACGACCACAGTTGTTACCCCATTAAAAGTGTTATCTTTCTGTTTGTAGAGTTGTTGCAGGTGTGCATAATTTAGTATACATCCACAGTTGGTTATCCATGAACAGACATTCGTAAACAAATTTATCATGTCGTCCACTAGAGGTCATTCATAAAGAAAATTTTTTAGGTGCAATTACTTAGGTCTGTATTCATATCCACATTATGGCGTCCACAGGCATCCCGTTGTAGGTTGTTTTGCAAACCCATATACTGTAAATATATCGTGTGATTCAATAAAATTGAGTTATCAAAAGTCATACTCTGGAATAGGCAATAATCGTGCAGATGGGTCGGAATCGCTCTTGGCGTAAGCTGCGGTGGCTATGGAGGAGAAAGAGGTGGAGGAGAAAGAGGGGTCGGAGTTTAGGACACATACGAGAAGAACGACGGTGTGTGAAGTACCAAAATAAAAACCTACAGGCAAAGAGATCTTTTTACGGTGAACAAGATCGGACAGGATGGTATGTGAGCTGGTAAATTCATAAAGAAATAAGTGTGTGTTCAACATGAAAGAATGGGGTTGAAGGCAGCCGCTAGGTCTCGAAGGAGGGGGAGGCATTTTGTTTGTGTAATTTTTTAATAGCTGATATAAATTATTCAGATGAAAAAATTAGTTGAGGATAGTTTAGAAAAATCACATAGTGAGAAACAAAGAAAACTTGAAGAAAAATACTCCAGTTGAGGGAAATACCTTTTCCTGTAATTATAGTTTGTAAAAGTACTCTATTCTATAATATTCTTTTATATAGTTTTCAAGTCAAACTTTGTATATATTATACAGACTGTATCGGCTTCTATCGGTTAGGCGCCATTTATGTTATGTCGACATTGAAAACATAGGTCCAAAATGTCGATATAGAAATATAATTTATTGTTATCGTGTATTGAATAATACTTTTTATTTCCTTTATTTTCTGAGTTTATATCAAAATTTCTCAAGATATTTTGCGTATGATTGTGCCGGCATGGTGGTCGCCGCTTACGCACAAACGAAGGATTGGGAGAAAGCAAAGGTTCTCCTCCGTTGACCTGTCTTCATCACATTGACTCAGCATAGCACATGTGATTGATATCTTCTCCTACTTATCCGTTGATGTATAAAATCTTTAGTCAACAAAACCGATCAAAATCTCATAATAATTTCTCTTTTTTTTTTTTTTCTGTTTCTCTAGTATATTTTTAGGGAATATAACATTAGAGTCAATTTGTTACGCTATAAGAAAAATTACATGTACATGTATATTAATAATACATTATTGGTGTCTTTGCAGTTTGCACTTTTGTAGGGATTCGATCAAGTATCTCCAAAAAATTATGAAGAGAAATATAAACCAAACTGAAAAGATTTAGTGTTGTTCGTTTTCCCATCTACTATTTTAAATTAATGTTTGGAAAAAGATATTTTTAAATTTGTATATCAAATAGCAAACAAATATATTTCCGTTTGAAATAGTTGAACATTCCAGCATGTGTTTTTTTTATACTAAATTTGGTGCGTTGTATTTAAATGTAACAAAAGTTTACAATTGTTAGACAAAATCTTACAATTGAGAAAACATACATTTGAAACAAATATATGAAAAAGAGATAACGAAATATTCCACTCATGGCATGGAACATTTCAGCATGTTCACAAAGTCTTATTACGACTTTAATAGTGCTTGCTCACTTCCAAAAGTTAAGTGACTTTTAAAACCATTACATAAAAATGCCAATAATGTGTAACGTTAGACGTATTACATCTACAAACGCTAAAAGAAGCTGTCAATATATTGCCAAACCGAATTTTATTTATAAAAAAAACTCAAAAGCTACTAAATTTTGTTGGCTCAACATATATTATTCAGACATCAATACATTTTTCTATACATATCCCACTGACTCCACCAATAACAAATTAAGACCGCATTAGGCTATATATAAACCACTTTTTTTTAACTTGCATCTCTTAATCAAGCAATCTTAACAAAAGGGTAAATTTCATACCTAAAGTTACAACTCCCACCCACAACTCTCCCTCCTTCTTTACCATCGCAACAGTTAGGAATCTCACCAATAATCCCATCCAAACACGCCTTACAACTCTCACTCCTCAAGTCCCTCGTACACTGCACCAATCCGTACAGCTTATTCTTCTCGAGATTCTTCTCCCCAGTCGCAAACAGCTTCTCGTTGTCTCCAGCAGTGGCCTTCATCGTCAGCTCGGTTAAAAGAGCTTTCGTCTGCGTGTTAAACGATGCAGGATCGGTCACGTTGTTGACGTTGTACAAATAGAACCTGTTCTCGAAATCGATCTTCCCGAAGAATTTGGTTGAGGAATACTTGACAAGACAGTTGTCGTACCATATTATTCCTGCCTTGTTGGTCGGACATCTCTGACGGAGCTGTCACATAACACCAATATCAAGAAAAATCCACAAACTCGATCATACAACATTTAAGTTTTTTTTTTTGTCTATGTTTCGCAAATAGTTTCTTTAATTTATTTTTAAGAATTATTTTGGTTTCAAGAAACTTATCTTTTAATTTCCGACATAAATTTTGTAAACTCAATTCATGCTTTACTCAATTTTCAAAACTATGAATTTTGAATTTAAATTATTATTATTTAACTGGTGGTATGTATACAACAATATTTCAATAGAAACATTATCAAAACTAACAGTATTTGCCAAATAGAAAATCAGTAGAATAACCTATCTTTTCATTGATAATCTTAACTAATAATTGATGTATATGTAAAATGACACTTATAAATCAACTTAATATGTACTAGTTTTTTTTGTGGAACCTAAATGCTTACCTATCTATAATACCTTGTGCGCGATTTGTATATGTAGTTGAGATGTAAGCAAGACTTATATGTGTATTTATATGTAATTATTGTAAGGTTACCTCGGGAATGGCGGTCGCAAGACAAGAGCGACAGTCAGAGGAAGAGGCATCGCCGCGGCAAAGGGCCAAACCGTTGACGTTGTCTGGACCGTTACCAGCGGAGGAGGAGGCGAAACCGGTGGATGGAACTCTGTAAGAGAGAAGACGAAGGAGACTGTTGATATTTGATTCGTACGGACTCGTCGACGTGAAGTTCCCTTCGATGTCAGAGCACTTGTGGTAGAGGAACGCATTGTTCTGGCTTTGGGACAAAACGCTGTGTATAAAGAGAAGTTGTATGGCTAAGGCCAATAGAGGGACCGAAACGATGCGTTTCGATGAGGAGGAAGAAGACATTGCTTAGGAATTTGGATACTTTATAGTTTTGGGAGGGGTTGTTTTGGATAGAAGAAATGTTGAGGTTGGGATGATTATATATATATATAGTGGTGGATGATGATCTTGGACTTTGGGTTATTTATTTGTTTATTTATTTAATTGTTGAAGTGTTCAGTTTTTTGAATAGTTGAAGTGTTCAGTTTTGGACTATTGGGATTTGGGCATTTTTCAAAGCTTGAATGAATGTTCCTTTTGAACAAAAATCAAAAGTCAATTTAGCTGATTGGCTCAATTAATAATATTCTAGAGTAAAGCAAAAAATGTAAAACATCACTTTTTGTATTGTTTTGATCATTTTCAATCTTCAGCTTCTAGAACAAATTAGAAATGTAACGGATGGGAGTTTGGACACTTGCTATGGCGGTGATGAAAAAGTCAACTATCAAAGGATTGACTGAAGGATCCACAATAATTTTGTTGGTCCAAGAAAAAGATTGTTTGTTTTTAAGTATGAAATTATTTTATTATTTACTTGGTCATTTATAGATGTATAATTATTTTTATACGCATAAATGGAACATTCAAATAAAATATCAATTCAAATTTTATAAAAAATCTTAAAATTTATAACTATTTAAACTGCAAAAAAAAAAAAACAGATATATAAAGTAAACAAAACCAAAACAAAATAAGAAAGTTGTCAAGCGAATGTCTCGAGCATCATCATCATCAAGCAAGCTTCAAGCGCTAAGAAAAGGGTATAGCTCATATCTCAAATTACAGGTCGTACTCAAAACTCTCGCTCCTTGTTTACCATTGCAGCACTTAGAAAGCTCCCTGATACTCTCTTCCAAACAAGTCTTACATAAGGCTATGTCTTTTGCACACTGCACCATTGCATATAGTTTCATCGTTCCTAGCTTCTTCTCCCCTGCTGCGTAATATATAGGTTCGTTTCCGGCTCCTGGTGAACGAATGGCTTGTGGGATCAAGTTGTAGAGGAAATCCTCCATATTTTTGTTGAACGAGTTTCTATCACCGTTCACGTTTCTTGGGTTTTGCAACGAAAAAGAATTCTCGTAATCGATCTTCCTTGGAGTTCGTTTATCAATCGTACTAACATCGAGAAAACATTGGTCGTACCATATTATTCCCCCTTTGTTTCTCTCGCACCTCTTACCTAGCTGCCATCAGTGCCGTGCCTAGGTTCAGTAGGGGTTGAGGCAAATTTAAAAATTATTTTTTAATATAAATTTTTTATAATAAATATAATCTAGTTTTTTTATAACTATATATAATCTAGTTTTAATTTTTAATACATTACTCAAATATAATCTAGGTTCATTATTATTATTTTAAATATCATGTAAGCATTACTATAAATAAATAAATATGTTATTGTAGATAGTTAATAAAAAAATTGAAAACTATTGAATTTATGTTTGTTTCTTTAAACAAAAAAAATAAAAGAAATATATGTAAAATAATAGAAAAAATAAATTAATTAACAAAAGAAATAGATTTAGGTTTCAGATTTTTTTTTCCTTATTTGGAAGTTTGATTTTTTTTCTTTCCAAAAACTATATTAAAAGAAAATATCTCAACATAGGTGTCGAATCTGAGTTTCTATAAGAGATATTTCAACAATTAAACCATTTTAGTACATGGTATTTTTAAAAGTTGGCAGCTTCTAAATTTCATATATGTTCGAACCTGAGGCAAATGCCTTTTTAAATACATAATAGGCACGGCTCTGGCTGCCATGTACATATGCATATATGTTATATTTCCTTTTAAATGATCATTTTTTTTCAATGCAAAGATACATTTCTTCTTTCTGTTTATTTTTAGAAGAAACGATCATTAAGTGGCAAAGCATGAACCGCACTTTGCAACTTTTATAAATATATAAGCATTAAGTAAAAACCTGAACTGTAAGATGTATAACCAAACTGGCATTATTAATCAATTAACGTTTCCATGAAATATGACTTATAATAATGTTGGAAGTGACATTACCCCAGCGAGGACGGTGGCAAAGCATGAACGGCACTTGGACCCATAGGAGTCGCCGCGGCACCCGAATATGAAGGCGACTTTATTGGGATCCTCACCATAAGATATGTGTTCGAAACCGCTCTGAAAATCGGTCCCAAGGTCAAGCAAGTGGGTTGTGGCTTTGTTGAGTTTGCTTCTGCTGGCGAAGCAAAGAAGGCGCTGAATAATAAGCACGGTGAATATTTGCACAATCGCGATGTTGTTCTAGATGTTGTTAAGACATCTCCATACCCTCTACGATCCAAGTATTGCATATATCACATGGTTTGGTACGAAGACTACCCTCGACGAGAAAGCCTTCCGATGGAAGAAGATGCGGCAGTGGTAGGACTTGATGAGACTCCCGATTTTGCTGAGGAAGATGCCGCAAGAGAAAAAAACGGTCTTTGTTGCCACAATCTCTTTGAAAAAAGGCACTCGTTGTGACGTATCACATTTCACCAATTTCTTCAAAGATGTTGGAGAAGTTGTTGGTGTTCGACTTATTGTAGACGACAAGGGTGAGCATGTAGGCTGTGGCTTTGTTGAGTTTGCTTCTGCTGACGAAGCAAAGATGGCAGCGCATGAGAAGAATAGTAGGTGGATTTATGTTAACATGGCTGAGAGAGCTCTTCCGTACCCTTTCCGACCCAAGTACAACTTGTACAAGCTTGCAAAGAAGCTTTGGTACGAAGACAACCTTCGACGACAAGGCTTTGGTTTGGAGAACAAACCGAATCTGGAGAAACAAAAAGGTCTTCTGCCGTAAGATTACCTTCTCCGACGAAGACTGATAGAAGAAGATGGAGAAGATCTTTGGTGTTTTTAACTTGTGATACAAAATCTTAAGTTTATGACTTTTTATTACCAGTAAAATATTTCGCTATAATGAAGATTTCTTAAATCGCTCAATGCAGTAGTGCTCAACCTTGCGTGTTAAAAAAAAAGAACTCCACAAGTCGATTTAGGCTTTATTTAGTTTTTCTGGAGACTGGAGTGGGGATCTAGTGGTTGTGACTAAAATGTATGAATATATAAAAATTTGCGCAAAATAACACTCAAACGGCAAATGTTTGATGTCCTTATTATTTTTTTTTATCAAAACCTATATATATTTTGCATTTCTTTTTTTTCTTTTGACCAGAAACATACTTTGCATTTTTATTATGAAAAAAAACTCATATATTTCTTCTTCATGAGGACATCCAAAGTCTCCCTTGTGATTTAATACATATAGGGTATTACATCTCGTGTGACGCAAGAAAAAAGAGCATATTACTTTGTGTTTGCTCAAAACAGTTATTCAAACACAACAAAAATATACATATGAAGCTCTCATCAAATAGTCTTAACTAGTCTTTACAAAAGGGTAAAGCTCATACCTAAAATTACAACTCGTGCTCAAAGCTCTTCCTCCTTACTTACCGCTGCAGCATTCGGGAAGCTTCAACAAAATCCAATTCAAACACACATTGCACTCCTCAGGCGATAAGTCCTGCGTACATTGCACCATTGCATACAACTTCATCGCGCCGAGCATTTTCTCCCCGGCCGCATACACGGTATTATCCCTGCCGGCATTGGTTTCTTTACTATTCGCTTTCTCCTTCAGATTATAGAGGAGAGCCTTCGTATTCTTGTTGAACGACTCTATATTGCCGCTCACATCCTTAGCGTTGTACATATAGAAGTAGTTCTGGTAATCAATTTTTGCTAAAGTATTGATCGAAGAAACCTCGAGAACGCAGTTGTCATACCAGATTATTCCCCCCTTATTTCTCGGACATTTCCTACCAAACTGTCATATACACATGTACATGATACATAATCAACACCAAAATCAAGAACAATATTGCACGGACCAGTCAATATATAAATAAGAAAAAAGTTGTACTAGTGGCACCCAATATTGTTTCCAATAAACCACCCTAGTAGAGTGTCATGATCAACAAATATAGCTATTATATATATCGCTAAGATGTAACTAAGGCTAACGTGAGCATGTATGCATTCATATATATTAATTTTTGATAGCTAATTAATAGTATTGAGGTAATGTTACCCCAGAGAATGCGGTGGAGAGGCAAGAGTGGCACTTGGACAAGTATGAGTCGCCCCGGCACTGAAGCTTTACAAAGATGGTATTGGGAGGGTCGCCATTGGAGACGTGGCGGAAACCACTGCGAAGTTTGCCGTTGGAGATGGAACGGACGACACGGTTGAGGCTTTCCTCGTACGGACTTCCCGGATTGTATGTGCCTTGACTGTTTATGCATATGTGGTGAAGATATGCATTGGTCTGGTTCAAGGACAATACACTGCGTATGAAAAGGAGCTGTATGGCCACCACGGCCAATATAGGGACGGAAATGAGGTGTTTTGATACAGAGTACATTGTTTTTTTTTGAATTTTGGTTTTTATGCATCAAGGGAGCTGGTATATATGTATATATATAGGAGACCCGAGGATATTGGATATTGATAAGAGTTTATCAGATGATTAATTTTTTGTTTATCAAATACAAAAATTCGATTAGTCATTTCAGTGTTTAGAAGAAAAAAAATGTAGTTTATCAAATGATTAAGGGGCTGAGACTTGGTATTTGCGGCGAGGGGAGAGGAGCGCCGATGAAAAAGTCAAACTTCAAAGGTTTGAAAAAGTCAAACCTCAAAAGTCACAACTGACACGATTCGCACGGTTGCCTTCCTCAGCACGACACAAGTAGAGATAACAATATATTCCGAAAGTTTAAGTTACTTTTGAGCAACATAATTTAATTAACATGAATAATTTTTTCGACGCATCAAACTGAAACTATACAATTCTTTTATTAGTGAAACCATGCAGTTGCCATTTTTAGTGTTGATTATGGTCACCATTTTTAAAATTCCATAGGAGATCTCTATGAAAGTATTATAGTGTTGATTACGAAGTTATTGACAAGCAACTACAGAGAGGCATTAGGATGAAACGAGGGGGAGACGTGGAGGAACCGGAGAAGACGATGAGATCCGAAGGAAAGACCTTTTGATAGTTTTTACTCTTGCATAGCGAAAGTTCTCTCTGCTACTGTTCCAAGATTTAAATTTAAGCTAATTATCAATCCTGTCTTTATAATAATCGGTTGTTTATTTAATCTTGGGTTAACAACTTAACATCTAATGCAAATGGTCCAAGAAAGATGGGTTATACAAAATAAATCACAAAGAGTGAACTACCTTTAATATTTATTCTCTCAAACAAAAGAAAAAAGTTATACAAAATGAAGCTCTCATTAAACAGTATTTAAGTCTTTACAAGAGGCTTTACAAAAGGGTAAAGCTCATACCTAAAATTACAGCTCGTACTCAAAACTCTTCCTCCTTGTTTACCGTTGCAGCAATTTGGAAGCTTCCCCATAATCCAATTCAAACACACATTGCAATTGTTTATCGATAAGTCCTTTGTACACTGCACCATTGCGTACAACTTCGTCGTCCCAAAATTTCTCTCTCCCGTCGCGTACAAGAATTGAACTTTGCCGGCATTGTTTTCTTTACTAATGGCTTTCTCTTTCAGCTCATTAAGGAGAGTCCTCGTATTTTTGTTGAACAGTTCTTTATCTCCGCTTGCATCTTTCGAATTGTATAAATAAAAATTATTCTGGTAATCAAGCTTGAATAAGGTGTTGATGGGAGAAATCTCCAGAAGACAGTTGTCGTACCATATTATTTTTCCCTTGGTTTTCAGACATCTCTTAAGAATCTGTCATACACGTTTATAGATCGATACCAAAATTAAAAACAACATAGATTTAAATTGTTTTTTTTTTTGGTACTAGCGTTAAAATACCATATATTCAGCATAATCTTGATTAAACCTTCCTCCCTATAAATTATTAGGATCATCAAATAAAATAATAAGCTACGAATTAAAATTCTACTAGTGGTCCGACCACGAGCTAAGATGTAACCATTCTAGCGTGTGTATGCGCATTTATATATGTAAATATGGTGACCAATCAAATATTGTCATGTTATATTACCTCGGATGAGGCAGTGGTGAGGCAAGAGCGGCACGTGGAGATGTCAGAGTCGCCCCGACACTGAAGCTTGGTGAAGACGGTATTAGGAGCCTCACCACTGTCGATGTGGACAAAACCGTAGTTGGTTATTGCGGTAGAGATAACCGGGATGACATTTTTTAGGTTAACCTCATACGGACTTCCTGGATTATATGTCCCTTGACTGTTGATGCATTTGTGGTGAAGATACGCATTAGTCTGGTTCAATGCACTGGTCTGGTCTACGGACAAAACACTGAGAATAAAGAGGAGTTGCATGGGCAGGATAGGGACGGAAACGTGGTGTTTAGATGCAGAGGATGAAGAGTACATTGTTTCGGATTTTGATATTTTCTCCAGAGATTTTTTTTTAATTTATTAGATGAACCATGAAGGAGTTGTGATGTTTATATTGGAAACACGAGGGATTTTTTGATATTGAGTGGAGATGACTTTTAAAATTTTGAATGATAATTATTATAATAGTTGTATTTTTTATACTTTTGGTTACTTTATACAAAATTTGATTGATCATTTCAGCTTGTAGAAGAAACGTTTTTAGTCCGTAACGGACAAGAGAGAGGAGTTATAGTCGTTTTAGACTTGGTATTTGCGGCGAGGGGAGAGGAGGGCCAATGAAAAAAAGTCAAAGTTCTGAGTATTGTCTGAATTTCTTTTTTTAGTCTACATTTTCCTTAATATCTGGTGTCGTTAAAAAAATTACGGCAGTGAGTGGCACCGAAAAGAACCGAGTTAAATATTTTTTAAATGCACGATCATGATAAGTTAATTGATTTGCACACACACAAAAAAAGATAAGTTATCGATTACGTAGTTATATATATATATTTACGTACGAGATTCTTTATTCTTTCTGTAAAATATGATAGATATTCCAACTTTCTTGTTTTTTATCCTATTAGTCATCACGATGAATCTTTTTGAGCTAACTTATCATGATCAAATATATAGCTCTGTTCTATAGTTCAAACATATTAATACTATGTTTCTCTTCTTTTTTATAATTTCTTTGATTTTTTATATCATTTTTATGAATAATTTCAAAATTTGATAGAAAAATAACTTTACATTAAAAAATGAAAAAAAAAATAGAATAGTTTTCCAAGTGTACATAAAAACTTATTAATATATATAATAAAATCATGTGTGAAAATTATGAAGAATAGAAAACTAAAAGCCACATTTCTTTCAAATTGCTTTAGACCTTCAAATATTTAGAACCAGCCTTGGTACTAACAAAAGGGTAAAGCTCAAACCTAAAACTACAGCTCCTACCAAAAACTCTCGCTCCTTGTTTACGACCGTAACAATTTTGAAAATGCAAAGCAAGATATCCCAAACACGTCTGACACCCCCTAAGCGATAGATCTTTCGTACATTGCACCATTCCGTACAGATTCTTGGTCCCGAGCCTCCTCTCCCCCGCCGCGTATTGCGCATGTTGGTCGCCGTCTAAGTTTGTTTCATTGATTGCTATACTTGTCAGATTGGAGATGAGAGACATCAAATTTAAGTGGAATGAGCTTTGATCGCCGCTCACTTTCTTCGCGTTGGACAAACAGAAATTGTTTTCATAGTCGACCTTCCCTTTAGTATCGATACCAGAAATCTCGAGAAGACATTGGTCGTACCATATTATTCCCCCTTTCTCTCTCGGACATCTCCTACGAAGCTGTCCACAATCAATATCAACTTTGCGTGGACTAATTAAGATCTAAACTTTGTAATATCAAAACATTTCATTTTTAATGAACATTTACAATTTAGCACCAAAAAAAAAAGATATATTTATCGCGAAGACGTAACCAAAACGGACGTGTGCGGATTTGTACATGTAAATATGCAACATTTAAGCAATAATATTGAAGTGACTTTACCTCAGAGAGAGCGGTGGAATAGCACGAGCGGCACTTGGGTCCGTAAGAATCGTCACGACACTGAATGATGACGGAGATGAAATCAGGACCATCACCAAGGGACATCAGCTCGTAACCACTGCGAAATTGACCAGTCGAAGTGATGGATTGGATGATGGATTTGAGGTTTTTCTCGTACACACTTCCCGGCTTGTAGTGACCTTGACTAACGAGGCATTTGTGCTGCAGATACGAATTGGTCATGTTCAAGGAAAAAACGCTGCGTACAAGGAATAGTTGTATTGCCACCATGGCCAAGAAAGGGACTGAAACGAGGCGATTTGATAGAGACGATGAAGAATACATTGTTTTGAAAAAGAAAAAAAAAAACAAATTGCGGGGGGAAGGGGGAGCTGTTTATAAGGCTGTGACGTTTATGTTGGAGAAGGATTTGGATATTAAGTTTATAGTTTTTGGTTACCTTACACGAAATTCGGTTGTTAAATTCAGTTTCTAGAAGAATTTTTTACAGTTTGTAATTATGAAAGAGAGAAGTTGGGAATTGAGAATTGGTATATGCGGCGAGAAGAGTGCCGACGAAAAAGTAAAACTTCAAAGGTGTGAGTGAGTTCAAACTCTTATAATCACACGATTTGTAAGGTGACATCCTGAAATGAAGGTATTAATTGTTAATTTATTATTGAAAGATTCTTTGTTATTTTTGTTAAATATGAAAGTGTTAACCTTTTGAACAAAAAAAAAAAATGAAAGTGTTAACCTGAAATGAGGGATTTGAAGTTGTTCAATTAGTTGAATATAATGTATACTTCTTTTATCTTGTGAATTTGGATGGTTTTTTTTGGAGTTGTATTTACATGACGCCTTTTTTTTTGGCTAAATTACATGACGCTTTCAAAAAACTTATTAACATTTAATTTTCAAATTTAGCTATAGGTTAGTGAATTAACTCAAATAAATAAAGTTAAGATTCACCGCTTATGTACCAATGTTAAAATTCATCGTCATGCAAAATATATATGGAAAAATGAGTTGGAAAAACTAATAATAACATGCAAATTCACATGTATATATATATATATATATATATATCTTACATACATCACGTAGAAACTTTAGATCTTAGCTATCTAACCTAGCTAATTTTTGCTGTGTGTTTATTTAGAAAAATACCGCTCTAAACATGAGTTACGCAAAACAAACCACAACGAAAATTATTACACATTTTATTCGTTCAAAACAATTAATAAAACTCTTGAGAAAAAGAGCGAGAGATGGTCAAAAACACTAGTTTTTAATAATAAAAGGGTAAAACTCATACCTAAAGTTACAGCTACTACTGAAAACCCTCCCTCCTTGTTTACCTGCGCAGCAATTCGATTTCTTCGAGATAATATATTCCAAACACGCATCGCAACCTTTTAACCATAAGTCTTTCGTACACTGTACCATCGCGTACATCGTCTTCGTCCCGAGCCTTTTCTCCCCCGCAGCGTACAGAAACGGCTGGCCGTTGGCGTCAAAGTTCTTCTCATTGGTGGCTTTCACATTCAGGTCGTCCAGAAAAAAATACCATTTCCTGTCTGAACATTTGCTGATTCCCGCTCACGTTCTTCGCGTTGGCCATACAGATATTGTTGACGTAATCGACCTGCCCGTCCGTACTAACTGAAGAAATCTCCATAAGACATTGGTCGTACCATATTATACTCCCTTTGTTTCTCGGACATCTCCTACGAAGCTATCGTATAAATTTTCATATAGGCACCACAATCAGTTACAACATTAATTGCACGGACTAATTCACGTATAATTATATATAGTTTTTTTATATCTCAAATATGTAACCAAAACTATAAAAAAAAATGACTGTGTTTGTTCTTTTTACATATATTTGTTGGCAATTCTCAAAAATACCACAAAAATAATTTTTTTTTGTTTTTAAAATATCATCACTAGCGATATCATGGAAAAATTTAGTGATCGTACGTATTTTTGGATTTTTGGAACATAAACTTTATTTCTCAATGTTTAATTATGTGATAGCTAATAAATAATACTGAAGGAAAGTTACCCCTGCGATGGCTGTGGCGTAGCATGAGCGGCACATGCGCCCGTCGATGTCACCGCGGCACTGGTACAAGAAGGTGACGCTATCAGGAGTACCCTCACCATTGGTCATCGATTCGTAACCTTGGCGAAAATTGCCGCTAGAGGTGGCATTGATCATTTCATTGAGGTTTTTTTCGTACTGACTTCCATGCTGATACTTCCCTTGACTTTCGATGCATTTGTGGTGCAAATACGAATTGGTCATGTTTACAGATGAAACGCTACGTGTATGGAGGAGTTGTATGGCCACCACGGTAACGATATGGACCAAAACGAAGCGTTTTGATACAGAAGATAAAGAGTACATTGTTTTGGGTTTCTTTTCTTATTCGAACGTGGAATGTTTTTTGATAGATGAAGCGTTGATTGAGGCTGTACTGTTTATGTAGGAGAGTCGGAGGGATTTGGATATTGAATGGAGAGAATATATAATATAGTCGTCTTCTGCTTTTTGTTACCCTATACCAAAATTCGATTAATCAATTAAGATTCTAGAAAGAACTGTTTACAGATTGCAACGGACAGGAGAGAGGAGTTGGAAGTTGAGACTTGGTATTTGCGGCGACAAGATTGCCAATGAAAATGTAAAAATTCAAAGGTATGACCGAGTTCAAACTCTTACAATCACACAATTAGTACGGTGACGACCTGAAATGAAGGCACTAATAATTTGTTACGCAGTTATTCAAGATATTCTGTCTATTTTGGACAAAATGATAAGATTCCAACTTTATTTTCCATCTCATAAGCATATTATATATAGTGGTAGGTGATCCGTGTTTTGCTTTTAGGTTTTTTTTTTTTTTTGCTTACTCAATATGAAGAAAATCGAGCAATGTCAAGGCTTTTACTTAAACTTGTATTACAACATTTTTTAAATTTAATTTCATATGTTTTACTTTAATGATTTTATTCGTACGTATGTGATAAAATAAAATCCTTTAACAAAAAAAAAATGTATATGGTATAGTAATATATACATTTTTAGAAATGTACGGTAGATGGAAGTATGAATAGTGGAACCTAATCGGTTTTTGAAAGAACCTTCAGTTAAGAACTTGGGATGGAATCTGATTAGTATAACAAATTTAACAGACATTAAACATTGAAGACAGAAGTGATGATTGTTAAGTCAACTCTTAGCTTGGGTTTGAAGTAAGAAAACTCAGTGCGTAGAGATCTTTTATAAACATATTAATTAAACCAAAACATTAAAAGATTATTTAAAAGCCACATTTTTAATGAACATACTAATCAAATTGTATATAACTCAGTGGCTTGTGATCAATCTCTAAACAAAATTTTAAAAAATTCATTTATAATAAAGATCAAATAAAATTTACAAGTTTATAAAAGAAAATCAAGAAAACCACAGTTATTATTGACTTAGGTCTCCAAATACTTCGGACTGGCCTTGCTATTAATAAAAGGGTAAAGCTCAAACCTAAAATTACAGCTCCTACCCAAAACTCTCATTCCCCGTTTACCGCGCCAGCAATCTTGAAAACCCACGAGAATAGATCCTACACACACCTGACAACCAGTAACCGATAAGTCTTTCGTACACTGCACCATTGCGAACATCGTCTCCTTCGTCCCAAGCCTCGTCTCCCCAGCAGCGTACAGCGCCGGTCTGCCCTGATATAAGTTTTTTTCATTGATGGCTATACCTGTTAGATTGCTGACAAGAGATACCCACTTGTCCTGGATCATATCTTTATCGCCGGTCACGTTCTTAGCGCTAGCCACACATAAATTGTTGTTGTAGTCGACCTGTCCTATAGTATCGATGGCAGAAATCTCGAGAAGACATTGGTCGTACCATATTATCCCTCCTTTGAATCTCGGACATCTCCTTTGAAGCTTTCATATACAATTTGCATATCACACCACAATCAATATTGTGTTGGACTAGTTTACGTATACAATATAGAATTTTTGTATATTATACATTATAGCTAAAAAGTAACTAAAACTGATATGTGTATATGTGCACGGAGCTATACATGTATAAATATGTGACAGCTAATCAATAATATATATTGAGGTGAAGTTACCTCAGAGAGGGCGGTGTCATAGCAAGAGCGGCATCTGGGCCCGTAGGAGTCGCCGCGGCACTGGAGGACGGCAGAGACGTAGCTAGGACCTTTACCAAGAGACATCATTTCGTAGCCGGTGCTAAAGTTACTGGTCAAAGGTATGGATTTGATGATATCTTTGAGGTCTTTCTCGTACTTACTTCCAGGCTTGTATTTCCCTTGACTAGCGAAGCATTTGTGGTTGACGTACGCATTGGTCATGTTCAAGGACGAAACACTGCTTATAAAAAGCAGTTGTAAGCACAAGGATGAGGCATTTTGATACAGATGATGAAGGGTACATTGTTTGGATTGCTTTTTTTCTTTCTTCAAAGGTATATTTTTAGTAGATAAAGCGTTCAGAGTATGATCTTTGATTGATAAATTCAATTTTAAGAAAATTTGTTTCAGTTTGTAACGGACAAGAGAGAAGAATTGGGAGCTGAGACTTGGTATTTGCGGCGACAAAAGGGCCGACGAAAAAGTAAAAGTTCAAACTCTTACAGTCACACGATTTGTACGGTGATGAAGGTATAAATTTTTAATATGTTATTACAAAATTCTTTGGGTTTTGGGGCCATAAATATTATATATGACTTTTCCTCTACGTTCACCCCCTTTTTTTTGTGTCATACAACATCTTATACTTGTTATTTGGTGTCTTGGTGCTAACATAAAAATGCGCATGTCAATATCATCTCGATGTATAATTACATTCCGAGAATATCACGTCCTAAATTTGCATTAAATATTACATAAAACCGCATGTCCAGATCATCGTGATATAATTACCTTCCAAAAACATATCACTTCCTAAGTTAAAAAAAAAAATATATATATATATATATATATATATCACTTCCAAATTTTGCATATATAAAACCGCATATCAAGATTGTTTAGAGCATCAGCAATGGAAAATTCTATGAGGGTTCTTAATTTTAAAATAAAGAAAAAAAATCAAAAAGTAAGAAAGAGAAGGTAGAGAGGTTCTTCAAAAAAAAACTTATTCTCATATTCTAAAAGATTCAGTAGCCACTTGTCATATTTTTAGTGTTTCAATTTAATTTATATAATAAAATTTAATTGTAAATATTAAATTATATTAAAATAATATATTTTTATGTTTAAAAAGCCTATAAAGTTTTATTACTGATATTCTTATAGGATTCCTTTTCAAAGACTATGAAAATATACAGAACCGTACATTCCATAGTTTAAGTTACCATAGAATAGTTGTTAAAAAAAAAGTTATCATAGAATAACAAGAACTCTTTTATCCGGTAAAATTTTAGAACTGATATTTTTGGAGTTCAATTTACATAACTCTTTAGAAAAAAAAAGGTATTAGTTGTTTTTTTATATATATAAAAAAAACAATAGCTATCTTCTATATATTAAAAGAGAAGCATTTTTAAAAAATAATCTTAATTTTGTAAAATATTACAGTTATGCCATTTTGCTGATGTGTCATCACCAGAATCATTTTTAATAAAGTTATACAAATAGACTTATATTACTAGATTAATTACATGTTATGTCACTGACGTTAATTTGGTCATACATTAGTTTATATCAATTATTTGATGATGATTGATGTATTCTCTTTTTCTATTTCTTACCAAAAATATATCATATTAATTATTTTTTTAAATACTATATTTTATCTCTTAATTTTATAAAAAAATAAATCATCACATCATTTATATAGTAGAATATATATATAATATATATATATATATCTGTGTTATGATTCGAATTTCATAAAACAAATATAAATTACTCAAATGATTAATAAATAAAAGTATGTTTTAAAAGACTAAAATTAAAAATAAAGATGTGTAGATAGATGATTCATAAATCAATATAAAAATATGAATGATAAAAAAAACAGGAAGTTTAGTTTAATAGATATTATTAATTTTAATTTATACAACAAAATAACTTGGTCAAAAATTATAATACTTTTGTAAGAATATTATATAATAATTTTATTAAACTTTATGATGTTAGAAATATTTTTCTTGAATAAAAATATTTAAGAATGTATAAGTATTGACTCAGTTATATATAATTTTAGATAATTTATTAAAAATAATAAAAAATATAATCTATTTTTAGATAATCCTTATGTATATTTAGTATTTCAAATATTTCACAGTAATTTTCTTTTCTTAAAAATTAATATTTTTATGACTATAGTTGTTGCGGTTAATCTAAATATACATTTACATTCATATAAGAAATATTAAAATAGATTATAAAATCTTATAATAAAATTTTATTTTTACAATTTTCATACTCTCTATTTCAAAATATAAGGTTTTGCATCAAAACACAAATTTTAAAAAGCAACTTTTCTTTAAAAAAGTAATCATTTAGTATATAAATTAAATATAATACAACTAATTATGAAAAACTGAAAAATATAATCGGTCACATAGTATTCATAGGAAGTAATAACAAATATGAAAACATCTATATTGTGAAACAAAACAAAATCTTTTAAAAAAACTAATATTATGAAACAGAGGAAGTACTAAAAAAATTATATTATTATTATAACGCATTAGATAATTAATAATTTAATCAAAATATACTCCTTCTATTTTTTGAATTTTAAGATCATGTTATTCATCATGGGTTATAAAAAATATAAAGAGGAACTTCGTATTTCTATCGAAATTGCGCATATATATTTAGTTTTTAAACTAATTTACATTAGAAATCAATTACCCTAAAATTCATAAAATAAACAAAAAAAAATTATTTTGTCTATATTACAGCATAATGTTATAATTAACAACTCATATAAAATCAATTTTATTTTGTTATATGGTTTTAAAATTATAGTATATTAAATAAATAATTATTATTTCATCCTGCACAAGGTGGAGGTTATTACCTAGTTGATTAGTAATGGGCTTGAATTTAGCGATTGAGAACAACTATTAATGATCGTATGCTAAAATTATTTGCTAATTTATGGGTTAAAATTCGTCGTTAATATACTTTGTAATATTTTGCCACTCTAACAATGCAATGAAATATACACACTTGGAAAATGAGTGCGGTTTGAACTTTGAAGCCTTTTCTTATGTGTTATGTAGTACTTGTAAAAACTAAGAAGAAGCTCCCTCCCTAATTTATTTTATTCTGAGAGTTAAAAGTATCGAACAAAACAGCTCTAAACGTGTATTATACAAAACAATACAAAGAAAATATAACTTTTTATTCGCTCAAAACAAATATTCAAACACAATACAAAATATATATAGAGAGAGCTCTCGTCAAACATTCGTCTTAATAAATGGGTAAAACTCATACCTAAAGGTACAGCTGGTACTGAAAACTCTGCATCCATGTTTAGCATCGCAGCAGCCTGATTCCTTCACCATAATCCAATCCAAACACGCTTCACAGCCCTTAAGCGATAACTCTTTCGTACATTGAACCATCCCATACAGCTTCTTTGCCCCAAGACTTCCTTCCCCTGTCGCGTACAGCACTGGCTTGTTCTGGTCGTCCACGTTCTTTTCATCGGTGGCTTTTTTCATCAGCTTTGTCAAGAAATCTATCATTTTCTTAAAGAACGCCTCCATATCGCCGCTCTTCGCTTTGGACATACAGATATTGTTGTCGTAATCGACCTTCCCGTTCGAACTGATGGAAGAAATCTCCATAAGACATTGATCGTACCATATTATACTCCCCTTGTTTCTGGGACATCTTCTACGAAGCTATTGTATAAATTTGCATATAGACACCACAATCAGTTACAACAATATTGCACAGACTAATTAACGTATAATATCTAGTCTTTACACCTATGAATCTATGATGTATTCCCTCCATTTCATAGATGTATTAGAAAGAGAAAAAAATTAACGAAAGAAATAAGGATATATTCAGGTGTTATCAAATATAATTTACTATGTGTGAAAACTGAAAAGTGTAAAGCATCTAACATTGTGAATTTAGAGACTACATATAGTTAAGATGTAACCGAAACTGACATGTATGTGATAGCTATTCAATAAGATTGAAGTCACGTTACCGCCGAGAGGGCGGTGTCGTAGCAGGAGCGGCACTTGGGTCCGTAGGAGTCGCCGCGGCATTGGTACATGAAGGTGACGAAATTGGGACCATTGCCAAGGGAAATCAGGTTGAAACCGTTGCGAGAAGTTCCATTAGAGGTGGAATGAATGAGTTGATTGAGGTTTCTCTCGTACTCACTTCCTGGCTGATATTTCCCTTGGCTTACGATGAACTTGTGGTGCAGATACGCATTGGTCGTGTTCAACGATGAAACGATACGTATATGGAGCAATGCCACCACGACGACAATGTGGACCAAAACGAGGCGCTTTGATACAGAAGAGTACATTGTTTTGGATTTTTTGGAAGTTTTTGTATAGGTGTAGTTTTGAACCTCCTCTCCCCCGCCGCGTACAGTGCTGCCGGGTCGCTGTAGTTTTGAACACTGACGGCTATAGTCGTCAGATTGTCCATGAGAGTATTCCAACTAACTTCGTACGCATATATATCGCTGCTCTCGTTCTTCGCATTGGACATACAGAAATTGTTTTTGTAATCGACCTTCCCTATAGAATCGATCGTAGAAATCGCGAGAAGGCATTGGTCGTACCATATTATTCCCCCCTTGTATCTCGGACATTTCCTACGAAGCTGTCATATACATTTTCAAAATTTACGTCATAATCAATAACAATATTGCACGTACTTTTTTACATATAATATGTCAGCTTTTGTTACATTTTAGCGATAATTACACGTCTAATTATCGCTAAAATGTAACAAAAGCTGATAGTTAATGATCAAATGTGAAAGCTAGTCGATAATACTGAAGTGACATTACCCCAGCGACGGCAGTGGCAAAGCAGTCGCGGCACTTGGGACCGTAGGAGTCCCCGCGGCACTGGAGGATGGCGGAGACGGTACCATCACGACCACCACCAAGGGACATCATGTCGTAACCGCCGATATTGTTACTGGTCGAAGCGATGGAGGTGATGATAGATTTGAGGTATTTCTCGTGCACACTTCCCGGCTTGTATTTCCCTTCACTGACCAAGCATTTGTGGTTGAGATACGCATTGGTCATGTTCAAGGACAAAACGCTGCTTATAAGTAGTTGTATGGCCAAGACAGGGACCAAAACGAGGCGTTTTGATAACGACGATGAAGAGTACATTGTTTTGGATTTTATTATATTTTTCTCAAAGGCGATTTCTCTTTTTATAGATGAATCGTTGAGACTGTGATGTTTATGTATAGACTCCGAGGGATTTGGATACTGAATATATGGTTTATTGTTTTTTGTTACCTTTTATGAAACTCGTAAGCTAAATTCAGTTTGTAGAAAGAAATGTTTACACTTTGTAAGGACAGTAGAGAAGAGTAGAAGGTTGAGACTTCCTTGCGGCGACAAGAAGGCCGACGAAAATGTAAAAGTTCAGAGGTGTGACTTAGCTCACACGATTCGTACGGTGTCAACCTGAAATGCAGGAATTCATTTGTTAATTCATTAATTTTTACAAAATTCTTTGTTTTTTTGGGTTAAAATAGGATAAGATTCCAACAGAAAGAAGAAAAAATCAACGTGTACTATCAACGATAGGTTTGCATGTTTCTAGATGAAAGAGAAGAAAAACGTAAAAGGAACAAAGATATAATTTATTTGAAAACAAAATCTGAAATACTAATCATGAGTTTAACGAGAAAAAGAAGAGAAGCCATTATGATTTTGACATAATCAAGGTTCTGAGCGGTGTTGGATTGGACTGAAGAAGAAGAATGTAACCTAACCTATGCAAAACTTATTAATGCAATGTTCCTCTTTTTAAATTATGGTTTCCTTGATCATTTTCTATCACTTTCATGAAATAGTTTTAGGGTGCAAATGCATGGTTGTAAGTGAGAGGGATTAGAGAAATAATTATTAGTGGAAAAAAAGAGTAGAATAATGTGTTTTTTCATTCATTTTTTTTAACTCACTCCTCTTGTATTTTGTAGAGTATTAATTTCCAAGGGAATAAGAATTATTTTTTACTTTCTGTGTGGGACTTATCATAATTTAGAGGAGTGCTATTAAGTGACAAATGTTTGAATATTTAGAGGAATAGAGAGTAATTGATATTTTTGTCCAATTTTGTTCCTCTAACTTAACAACCATTTGCACCCTTAGAAACATACAAGGAAAAATCTTAAATAAAATTATAATGGTTTCTTTTAAAACGTAACAGAAATTATACAAACTACAATATATATTTTGTTCTAACTAGATAAAATGACAAATCAATATAATATCAAATTTAAAGTTTACGGAGAAAAATAATCTATAATCCTTATATTTTCCATTAGCTCTTCAAATAATTACGGCCTTCCTTGGTAGTAACAAAAGGGTAAAACTCAAACCTAAAGTTACAGCTCCTTCCCACAACTCTCGCTCCTCGTTTACCGAATAAACAATTTTGAAAACGCAAGATCTTAGATCCCAAACATTCTTGACAAGCCTCTGGCGATAAGTCTTTCGTACACTGCACCATTCCATACAGCTTCTCCTTCCCGAACGTCTTCTCCCCCGCCGCGTACAGCGCTGTGGGGTTGCTGTTGTTTTTTTCAGTGATGACTAAACTTGTCAGATTGTCTACGAGAGACTTAATTTCGTCGAACTTAATTTCACCATCGCTCACGTTCTGCGCATTGGACATACAGAAACTGTTGTCGTAAACGATCTTCCCTACAGAATCGACCGCAGAAATTTCGAGAAGACATTGGTCGTACCATATTACTCCTCCCTTGTATCTCGGACATCTTCTACGAAGCTGTCATATATATATACACCAAAATCAATATCAATCAACTTTGTACATACTATTTTACATAAAATAAATATTTTTGTCTATTATCTATATAGACATTGCTAAAATGTAACCATAGTTTGCATATGTGTACGTGTTCGCAGATTTATACACGTAAATATTTGAAAGCTAATCAATAATACTGAAGTAATATTACCCCAGCGAGGGCGGTGGCGTAGCAGTCACGGCACTTTGGCCCGTAGGAGTCGCCGCGACACTGAAAGATGGCGGAGACGGTATCCTCAGGACTCCCAATAAGGGACATCGTGTCGTAACCGGCGACATTGTTACTGGTCGTAGCGATGGAAATGATGATAGATTTTAGGTTATTCTCGAACGCACTTCCCGGCTTGTATTGCCCTTGGCTTTCGATGCATGTGTGGTTGAGATACGCATTGGTCATGTTCAAGGATGAAACGCTGCGTATAAATAGAAGCTGTATGGCCATCACGGCCAAGATAGGGACCAAAATGAGACGTTTTGATAAAGATGATGAAGAGTACATTGTTTTCGATTTTTTATTTTTTTTCTCCAAGGGGAGTGTTTTTTTAATAGATGAACCGTTGAGACTGTAATGTCTATGTATGAGACTCGACGGAGGGATTTGGATATTGAATGTGTGATTTATAGTTTTTGGTTACATTATATATACGAAATTCGATTTGGTTATTTCATTTTGTAGAAGAAATTAATGTTACACTTTGAAACGGAGAGGGGAGAGGAGTTGAAGGTTGAGACTTATTTGCGGCGAGAAGAGGGCCGACGAAAAAGTTAAAGTTCAGAGATGTGACTTATTTCAAACTCACAATCACACGATTTGTACGGTGTGGAACCGTGAAATGAAGTTGTTCTTTTCTATAATTACAAGATTCTTTGACTTTTTGGTAAGGTATGATAAGATCCATTATAAATTATTTGGGTTTTTGGTAAGATATGACAATATTCCAACTGAAATATATACATATATAAAAGACGATAGTAAACAAGAAAATCATAGTGGAAGCTTTCTTAACCCAATGGTTTAACAAGGGTTTATTAATGCTTCTACATCAGGAGGTTTGGATTTCAAATTCCAGTGAGCGTGATTTATTCTTAATTATGTAGATTAATGAAGAATGATGCAAATTAATGGAGGCAAGCTTATAAGAGATCTTCAGCGTGGTGCAAGCAGAATCGTCAGGCGTAGATCTTCTTATGATGATGGTAAGCGTGGTGCATGGTGCAGGTAGAGCTGTTAGTCGTGGATCTTCATAAGACGGTAGAATTGACCGTTGTAGAATTATGGATGTAACAGTTCTCATAATTTGCAATAAATTAATAAATCAGTGTTAAAAAAAACAAGAAAATCATTTTTTTTTTTGGGACCAGTTATTCTTGGCGACGAAAAGTGGGTCTCCGACAAAGCCACAATCTGACGTTCGTCGGCGTCTCCTGCGTTGGAGACTCCTTCACTCCTCTCAAATTGCAGGCCATCCCCTCCTCATGGGGAAGAAAAACCCCCCCAAACAACTTTCACTCTCCAAAAATTCGCCTTCCCCCTCTTCAAAGTCCGCAGCAACTTCATCTTCTCCTCTTCCCAAAGATGTGTCGGCTGTTGTTCCTCCGCCTCTACAAAGAACCCAATCTTTGGTTTCAGTGACTGTTTTGGCTGCTATCCTGTCTACTGTGGTTTTAGAAAAAAACCCCAATTCGATTTCTGACCAAATTGTTGCTCCTGTGATCGCTAATTCGGCAGATCCAGAACCAACCCAGAAGCAAGTCATGGCTGAAGAAGTCGCACATAGCCTAGCTTCCTCCACTGCGAAAGTCTCCAAAGAGACGGACCCAGAATTACAACGAAATTCAACCACCTCAGTAGTGGATTCTTGGTGCTCTCTAGTTAAAGGGACCACAAAACAGCTGCAGAAGAAGGGCGTAGCTTACACATTACCCTCTGGAGAGGCATGTGTGAAGATCCCCAATTCAGTGATAGAGAAGAACAGGAAATCATGGGATTGTTTTGTTCTTGGACAATTTTATTCAGACCCTCCTTCTCAAGGGATTATCCATAATATTGTTAATGGAATCTGGAGCAAGCAGTACAGAGATGTCTCAGTGTCGAAGATGGAAGGTAACTCGTTCCTCTTCAGAATTCCTAATTCTTTTACCAGAAATCGGGTTCTCAATCAGCAGCTCTGGCAAATAGAAGGCCAAACGATGTTTGTAGCAAAATGGGATCCAGGTGTGGTTCCTGTTAAGCCAGAGTTAACATCTGCACCAATCTGGCTCGAGCTGCAAAAAGTTCCTTTCCAATTCTTCAATGAAGAAGGTCTTGAGCATATTGCAGGGTTGGTTGGACACCCAAAATGTCTCCATCCGTCAACTGCAAACAAGACAAATCTAGAAGTTTCAAAGGTCTTTACAATTATTGATCCAAGAAAACCTCTTCCTGAAGCGGTTAATGTGGAATTTGAATCGGGAGTGATCAGCAGGGTTCTTGTGTCTAGCCCCTGGATGCCACCAGTGTGTGAACATTGCAAGGAGATAGGACATACTATCAAGAGATGCACAGCAGCTCCAAAGATATGTAACCGATGCAACTATGCTAGTCATGTAACTGGTAAATGCCCAAGAGCTAAGTCTGTGGAGGGTATAATGAAGAAAACACGCAGGGGAAGGTCAAAAGAGAACAGTAGGACTCAATTGTACAAGAAAAAATTTGTTGCTCCGGCATCAGCTATTCAGGAGGTTATAAATGTTGGGTCTAAGATGGGTAATCCCATGGAGTTTGCAAAAGGAGAAACAAGCGGCTCAGTCTCCCTTGAGAAGCAAAAGGTTCCTACTGCGCCAGTCCTTGCAATTCAGAATGTAGAAACTTCAGAGACTGAGGAAGACTCTTCTGATGTTTCTTCAAGTGACTCTGATGAGGAGGAAGGTCAAATTGTGGAGCAAAGTAAGTTTATCAAAGTTATGCCAAAGAAAAAACAATCAGGTGCGAAAGGTGCTAGGGGCAAGGGCCCCAAACGCCAATAAACATGTGAATAGATATTTTTTGCTGGAATGTCCGCGGCTTTAATATATATGGCCATCGTAGCGGCTTCAAGAAGTGGTTTAAGCATAATAAACCCATTTTTGGCGGATTAATAGAGACCCATGTAAAGCAGCCAAAGAATAAGAAGTTCATCAACGAGTTACTTCTCGGCTGGTCTTTTGAAGATAACTATGATTTTTCAGATTTGGGTAAGATATGGGTATTGTGGCATCCGAGTGTCAAGGTGGTTGTCATCTCCAAGTCTCTTCAGATGGTGACTTGCGAGGTGCTTTGGCCTGATTCTCAGAAAGTGTTTGTTGTGTCAGTGGTGTATGCTTCAAATTGTGTTTTAGCAAGGGCAGGGCTGTGGGAGGAGCTGGTAGCGCTGTCAAACAGCCCGGTATTGTGTGGTAAGCCGTGGATGGTTATGGGAGACTTTAACCAAATTCTTCATCCGCAAGAGCATTCTACGGCCAGAAATCTAAACGTGGATAGGAGGATAAGAAATTTCAGAGATTGTCTTCTTGAAGCTGATTTATCTGATCTAAACTACAGGGGCAATACTTTCACTTGGTGGAATAAGAGTAAGAGCAGGCCAGTAGCCAAGAAGCTGGATCGTGTTCTTCTGAATGACTTATGGTGCGTTAATTTTCCAACTGCAGTGGCATCTTTCGGAGAGCCTGACTTCTCAGATCATTCTTCTTGTTCTGTAGTGATGAATCCTGAGGCTCAAAAGCAAAAGAGACCTTTCAATTTTTTTAACTTCCTTCTTCAAAATGAGGAATTCCTAGTTGTCGTCACCTTACATTGATACTCCTTCAACACGGTGAGTTCGGCTATGCTCAGATTTTCTCAAAAACTTAAGTTGTTGAAGAAGGTTATCCGTGAATTCAGTAAGGATAACTTCTCAAACCTGGAGAAAAGAACCAAGGAAGCTCATGAGGTGCTTCTGGATAGTCAGAACTCTATGCTTGCAAATCCATCGTCGTCAAATGCAGAGTTTGAAATGGAGGCTCTCCAAAAATGACAAATTCTATCAACTGCTGAGGAGGCCTTCTTCTTGCAATGATCAAGGGTTTTGTGGCTTGCTCTAGGAGATAGTAATACAGCGTACGTCCACCGCATGGCAGCAACTAGGCAGGCTCTGAACCATATTTTACTTCCTTCTTGACGAAGGGGGTAATATGATTGACTCTTAGTTGGGAATACAAAAGCACTGCATTGACTATTTTTCTGGACTCCTTGGTGGTCAGGTTGATTCTCCTATGTTTGAGCAAAGTGATCTGAATCTGCTTCTTCCTTTCAGTTGCTCAATTACTTAGCAAGCAGATATGGTCAAACAGTTCTCAAATGATGACATTAAGGCTGCTTTCTTCTCTTTGCCTAAGAATAAGACTAGTGTCCCTGATGGCTACTCCTCTGAATTTTACACGGGCTGCTGGGAGATAGTGGGTGCTGAAGTCACAGTGGCAGTCTCTGATTTCTTTGTGTCTGGGCATCTACTCAAGCAATGGAATGCCACAACTTTGTTCCTTATCCCTAAAATCCTGAATGCTTCTAGTACAAGTGACTTTCGACCTATTTCGTGCATTAACACTATGTACAAAGTGATATCTAAGTTGTTGGCTTCTAGATTGAAGGATATTTTACAAGGTGTAATCTCTCATTCCCAATCTGCCTTTATGCCTGGTCGCTTACTTGCAGAAAATGTTCTCCTTGCCACAGATTTGGTGCAGGTCTATAATGGGAGTAGAATGGAGAGCAAGGGAATGTTGAAAGTTGATCTCCGGAAAGCCTTTGATTCACTAAGATGGGACTTCATCCTTGCTACCTTGCGTGCAATTCACATCACTGCCGTTTTCATCAACTGGATCTCTAAATGCATAACAACTCCAACCTTCTCCATCTCTGTCAATGGTTCTGATGGGGGTTTCTTCAAAAGCACTAATGGTGTGAGACAAGGTGATCTGCTTTCTCCCTATCTTTTTGTGTTGGTAATAGAAGTATTCTCGAAATTGCTGCTCTCACGGTATGAGTCAGGCTACATCGCTTTTCATCCAAACACGCATACTCTCAAAATTTCGCACTTAATGTTTGCGGATGATGTAATGATTTTCTTCGATGGAAGTAGCTCCTCACTACTTGGCATCAATGAGTGTTTGGACGATTTCTCATCCTGGTCTGGTCCGCGAATGAATAGAAAGAAAACTAAGCTGTTTATCGCAGGATTGAAACCTGCTGAATACAATACTATTACGAGCTATGGTTTCTCTATCGGGCGGTTAGATCGCTGTCTTTTGCTGGAAGAGTACAACTGATTGCTTCGGTTATCTCTGGGACTGTAAACTTCTGGATCTCGGTCTTCATTCTTCCACATGGTTGTATTAAGAAAATTGAATCGCTGTGTTCTCGGTTCCTCTGGTCAGGAAACTTGGATATATCCAAAGGAGCGAAGGTGGCTTGGTCTACTGTCTGTCTCCCTAGAGAAGAATGGGGACTTGGTCTTCGAAATTTCTCTGTTTGGAACAAGGCTCTCTGTCTTTGATACATTTGGCGTCTGTTCTCGGACAGTGTTTCCTTATGGGTGGCATGGCACCGTTTTCACCATTTTGGAACCATTAGTTTTTGGGCGGTGGAGCAATCAACTACGGATTCCTGGACTTGGAAGCAATTGCTAAAGCTCAAGAATGAGGCGTTCAAGTTTATCAAAGGAGTAGTGAGAGACTGTCGAAGAATAAGCTTCTGGTTTGATGTTTGGACACCTTTCGGGCAGTTAATAAGGTATTTGGGACCATCGGGTCCATCTACCTTGAGAATCCCGCTTCACGCTAAGGGGGCAGAGGCTTGTAACCACAACGGTTGGAATGTCGCCAACCCGAGAAGCGAACAAGCAGTAAATCTACTTGTCCATCTTACCACGGTACAACCTCCAACCTTAATCGTAGCTGCAGATGAGTTTGATTGGAGTGTTGAAGGAGTCAGCTCAAAGGATTATTCTTCGTCCAGAACTTGGGAAGCTATGAGACCTAGGGCTGGGGTGAAGGACTGGGCAGATCAGGTCTGGTTTAAAGAGATTATACCAAAGCATTCTTTCATAATGTGGATTGCTAATTTAAATAGACTGCCGACAAGGGTTCGTCTTGCTTCTTGGGGTCTTCAGATTTCAACAGATTGCTGCCTTTGCTCCAGATTCGAAGAAACTCATGATCATATGCTCATCACTTGTGATTATAGTTCTGAGGTTTGGAAGCTGATTTTTTCGAAATTGGGTCATCCTCAGCGTATGTTCAGAACCTGGACGGAACTTCTCTCTTAGATTAAAGAAAATTCAGCTTGGGCCCCTCTATTCTCCGGAAACTAGCGGCACAAACAACAATTTTTCACTTTTGGAAATAAAGGAACAATGTCTTGCACAATCAGGTTTCAATCCCCACAATGACCATCTTCAAGGATATAGATCGTGAGGTCAGAAACACAATCACTACGAGAAAACAGAGAAAGCATTTTGGAAATTTAATGTCCCTTTGGCTTAGATAACACTTTGATGTTTTACCCACTTAATAGTGTTTCCTTGTTTTTATTTGGGTTTTTTTGCTATCTAACCATATTTACAAAACAATAGAAGAATATAGTCATGATATTTGACAAATTAGTAAACTAATCATGGCCCACAATCAATTATCGAAAATAACCTTGTACTATATTATACTATATACTATACTATATATAATTTTATGGAATAGTACTTTATTTGATATAGTATATACAGAAAAGAGAGCAAGAAAGAGAAAAAGACGAGAGAGGAGGGGAGAAGAGGAAAGAGGAGGCAAGGAGAGGAGAAGGGGAGGAGGAGAGATGAGATGAGTGGAGGTGAGCAGAAGAGAGGAAATAAGAGTATAGTATAGTATAGTAGTGTAATCTATTAAACGAAGAGGTTTTTAGTATATATTATAGAATATATAAGGAATATAATAGCTCCTATATTGGTATGGTTACTTTCCAAATTATAGGTATTTATATGGCTATATCAGCCAATTTTCCTTTTTATTTCTTTTTTGTCAAGTACAAATTTTTAGATTTGCTTTATGAAAAATTTACCTTTTATTTTTAATAATATTTACAATTGTAGCAAAAAAATATATATACATATATATATATAAGTTCTCATTTACTATTAATGTTATGGTTAGTATGTTTCTAGATAAAAGAAAGACAAAACAATTAAAAGAAGAAGAAAAATTGATTTACTTAAAAATATTTTAAAACAAGATCATGATACTGAGAAGCGGATTTAAAACAGTTTACATTAGGAAAAGCTTATTGAGAAGAGGAGAGAAGCCATAATGGTTGCATATTATACAAAGATGACCAAACCCATAGAAAAATAGATAGTGTCAGAATGTCAAGATATCTCCGAATACATATACACACTTCCACACGATTATGATTTCTGAACGGTGTTGGATTGGACAAACGAAGAACAGTGTAACAAAATCAAAACAATAAATATTTGCAATGTTTTTCATTTTAGTTTATGATTTCCTTCATTATTTCCAATAATTTTCATTCATGAAATCATTTTAGAAATTTCCAAAAAGAACAAATTTACAAGAAAAATTCCAAACAAAAAAATCTTTTTCGGAATACAGATTTAGATAAATTACATCATACATTCTGTCTAAATAAAATTCATATAATATAAAATGAAATTTAAAGTTTACAGAAAAAAAAAACTAAAAGCCACAACACTTTAATCAAATTTCTTTAGGTCTTGAAATTTTTAGAACCGGCCTTGGTATCAATGAAAGGGTAAAACTCATACCTAAAGGTACAGCTTCTACCTACAGCTCTCGCTCCTCGTTTATAGTACAAGCATTTTTGAAATTTCAAGAGATTACTTCCGAGACACTCCTCACAATCCGTTGACGAGATGTCTTGCATACATTGCACCATTCCGTACAGTTTGTCCTTCCCCAACCTCCTCTCCCCCGCAGCGTACAGCGGCGACGGGTTTTTTTCACTGATGGCTTTAGTTGTCAGATTGTTGATGAAAATCAGCCAGTTCATGTTAGAATAATTGTCGACACTAAATGTTTTCGCATTGGACATACAAAAATTGTTCTTGTAATCGATCTTCTCGAACGTATTGATGGCAGAAATCTCGAGAAGACATTGGTCGTACCATATTATTCCCCCTTTGTTTTTTTTGGACATCTCCTACGAAGCTGTCACACACAATTTTCATATCTATCCCACAATCTGAGCATAATATTAGTTTTGCATGCGTGGATTCATACATGCATGTAAATATTTTTTTTTTTTAATTTACCAAAATGTTGTGGGCCGAAACCCTTAATTTTCTAGATCCGGAATCAGAGCATAATATTAGTTTTGTTTCAAACCACTCAAATGTGTAACTTTTAGGTTTTACCGAAAATACTTTTTTCAGTTGTGGTTACGACACAAATGATTTCATACATGTAAATTTGTGCATCTAATAATAATATATTGAGGTGAAGTTACCTCAGAGGCGGTGTTGGTAAAGCAAGAGCGGCATTTGGGCCCATAGGAGTCGCCGCGGCACTGATGAGTGACGGAGACGAAATTAGGACCTTTACCAAGAGACATCATTTCGAAACCACGGCTAAAATTACTGGTCAAAGGGATGGATTTGATGATATCATTGAGGTCTTTCTCGTACGCACTTCTGGGATTGTATTTCCCTTGACTGACAAAGCATGTGTGGTGAAGATACGCATTAGTCATGTCAATGGTTCTGATGGGGGTTTCTTCAAAAGCACTAATGGTGTGAGACAAGGTGATCTGCTTTCTCCCTATCTTTTTGTGTTGGTAATAGAAGTATTCTCGAAATTGCTGCTCTCACGGTATGAGTCAGGCTACATCGCTTTTCATCCAAACACGCATACTCTCAAAATTTCGCACTTAATGTTTGCGGATGATGTAATGATTTTCTTCGATGGAAGTAGCTCCTCACTACTTGGCATCAATGAGTGTTTGGACGATTTCTCATCCTGGTCTGGTCCGCGAATGAATAGAAAGAAAACTAAGCTGTTTATCGCAGGATTGAAACCTGCTGAATACAATACTATTACGAGCTATGGTTTCTCTATCGGGCGGTTAGATCGCTGTCTTTTGCTGGAAGAGTACAACTGATTGCTTCGGTTATCTCTGGGACTGTAAACTTCTGGATCTCGGTCTTCATTCTTCCACATGGTTGTATTAAGAAAATTGAATCGCTGTGTTCTTGGTTCCTCTGGTCAGGAAACTTGGATATATCCAAAGGAGCGAAGGTGGCTTGGTCTACTGTCTGTCTCCCTAGAGAAGAATGGGGACTTGGTCTTCGAAATTTCTCTGTTTGGAACAAGGCTCTCTGTCTTTGATACATTTGGCGTCTGTTCTCGGACAGTGTTTCCTTATGGGTGGCATGGCACCGTTTTCACCATTTTGGAACAATTAGTTTTTGGGCGGTGGAGCAATCAACTACGGATTCCTGGACTTGGAAGCAATTGCTAAAGCTCAAGAATGAGGCGTTCAAGTTTATCAAAGGAGTAGTGAGAGACTGTCGAAGAATAAGCTTCTGGTTTGATGTTTGGACACCTTTCGGGCAGTTAATAAGGTATTTGGGACCATCGGGTCCATCTACCTTGAGAATCCCGCTTCACACTAAGGGGGCAGAGGCTTGTAACTACAACGGTTGGAATGTCGCCAACCCGAGAAGCGAACAAGCAGTAAATCTACTTGTCCATCTTACCACGGTACAACCTCCAACCTTAATCGTAGCTGCAGATGAGTTTGATTGGAGTGTTGAAGGAGTCAGCTCAAAGGATTATTCTTCGTCCAGAACTTGGGAAGCTATGAGACCTAGGGCTGGGGTGAAGGACTGGGCAGATCAGGTCTGGTTTAAAGAGATTATACCAAAGCATTCTTTCATAATGTGGATTGCTAATTTAAATAGACTGCCGACAAAGGTTCGTCTTGCTTCTTGGGGTCTTCAGATTTCAACAGATTGCTGCCTTTGCTCCAGATTCGAAGAAACTCATGATCATATGCTCATCACTTGTGATTATAGTTCTGAGGTTTGGAAGCTGATTTTTTCGAAATTGGGTCATCCTCAGCGTATGTTCAGAACCTGGACGGAACTTCTCTCTTAGATTAAAGAAAATTCAGCTTGGGTCCCTCTATTCTCCGGAAACTAGCGGCACAAACAACAATTTTTCACTTTTGGAAATAAAGGAACAATGTCTTGCACAATCAGGTTTCAATCCCCACAATGACCATCTTCAAGGATATAGATCGAGAGGTCAGAAACACAATCACTACGAGAAAACAGAGAAAGCATTTTGGAAACTTAATGTCCCTTTGGCTTAGATAACACTTTGATGTTTTACCCACTTAATAGTGCTTCCTTGTTTTTATTTGGGTTTTTTTGCTATCTAACCATATTTACAAAACAATAGAAGAATATAGTCATGATATTTGACAAATTAGTAAACTAATCATGGCCCACAATCAATTATCAAAAATAACCTTGTACTATATTATACTATATACTATACTATATATAATTTTATGGAATAGTACTTTATTTGATATAGTATATACAGAAAAGAGAGCAAGGAAGAGAAAAAGACGAGAGAGGAGGGGAGAAGAGGAAAGAGGAGGCAAGGAGAGGGGAAGGGGAGGAGGAGAGATGAGATGAGTGGAGGTGAGCAGAAGAGAGGAAATAAGAGTATAGTATAGTATAGTAGTGTAATCTATTAAACGAAGGGGTTTTTAGTATATATTGTAGAATATATAAGGAATATAATAGCTCCTATATTGGTATGGTTACTTTCCAAATTATAGGTATTTATATGGCTATATCAGCCAATTTCCCTTTTTATTTCTTTTTTGTCAAGTACAAATTTTTAGATTTGCTTTATGAAAAATCTACCTTTTATTTTTAATAATATTTACAATTGTAGCAAAAAATATATATATACATATATATATAAGTTCTCATTTATTATTAATGTTATGGTTGGTATGTTTTTAGATAAAAGAAAGAAAAAACAATTAAAATAAGAAGAAAAATTGATTTACTTAAAAATATTTTAAAACAAGATCATGATACTGAGAAGCGGATTTAAAACAGTTTACATTAGGAAAAGCTTATTGAGAAGAGGAGAGAAGCCACAATGGTTGCATATTATACAAAGATGACCAAACCCATAGAAAAATAGATAGTGTCAGAATGTCAAGATATCTCCGAATACATATACACACTTCCACACGATTATGATTTCTGAACGGTGTTGGATTGGACAAACGAAGAACAGTGTAACAAAATCAAAAAAATAAATATTTGCAATGTTTCTCATTTTAGTTTATGATTTCCTTCATTATTTCCAATAATTTTCATTCATGAAATCATTTTAGAAATTTCCAAAAAGAACAAATTTACAAGAAAAATTCCAAACAAAAAAATCTTTTTCGGAATACAGATTTAGATAAATTACATCATACATTCTGTCTAAATAAAATTCATATAATATAAAATGAAATTTAAAGTTTACAGAAAAAAAAAACTAAAAGCCACAACACTTTAATCAAATTTCTTTAGGTCTTGAAATTTTTAGAACCGGCCTTGGTATCAATGAAAGGGTAAAACTCATACCTAAAGGTACAGCTTCTACCTACAGCTCTCGCTCCTCGTTTATAAATACGTTGACGAGATGTCTTGCATACATTGCACCATTCCGTACAGTTTGTCCTTCCCCAACCTCCTCTCCCCCGCAGCGTACAGCGGCGACGGGTTTTTTTCACTGATGGCTTTAGTTGTCAGATTGTTGATGAAAATCAGCCAGTTCATGTTAGAATAATTGTCGACACTAAATGTTTTCGCATTGGACATACAAAAATTGTTCTTGTAATCGATCTTCTCGAACGTATTGATGGCAGAAATCTCGAGAAGACATTGGTCGTACCATATTATTCCCCCTTTGTTTTTTTGGACATCTCCTACGAAGCTGTCACACACAATTTTCATATCTATCCCACAATCTGAGCATAATATTAGTTTTGCATGTGTGGATTCATACATGCATGTAAATATTTTTTTTTTTTAATTTACCAAAATGTTGTGGGCCGAAACCCTTAATTTTCTAGATCCGGAATCAGAGCATAATATTAGTTTTGTTTCAAACCACTCAAATGTGTAACTTTTAGGTTTTACCTAAAATACTTTTTCCAGTTGTGGTTACGACACAAATGATTTCATACATGTAAATTTGTGCATCTAATAATAATATATTGAGGTGAAGTTACCTCAGAGGCGGTGTTGGTAAAGCAAGAGCGGCATTTGGGCCCATAGGAGTCACCGCGGCACTGATGAGTGACGGAGACGAAATTAGGACCTTTACCAAGGGACATCATTTCGAAACCACGGCTAAAATTACTGGTCAAAGGGATGGATTTGATGATATCATTGAGGTCTTTCTCGTACGCACTTCCGGGATTGTATTTCCCTTGACTGACAAAGCATGTGTGGTGAAGATACGCATTAGTCATGTCAATGGTTCTGATGGGAGTTTCTTCAAAAGCACTAATGGTGTGAGACAAGGTGATCTGCTTTCTCCCTATCTTTTTGTGTTGGTAATAGAAGTATTCTCGAAATTGCTGCTCTCACGGTATGAGTCAGGCTACATCGCTTTTCATCCAAATACGCATACTCTTAAAATTTCGCACTTAATGTTTGCGGATGATGTAATGATTTTCTTCGATGGAAGTAGCTCCTCACTACTTCGCATCAATGAGTGTTTGGACGATTTCTCATCCTGGTCTGGTCCGCGAATGAATAGAAAGAAAACTGAGCTGTTTATCGCAGGATTGAAACCTGCTGAATACAATACTATTACGAGCTATGGTTTCTCGATCGGGCGGTTAGATCGCTGTCTTTTGCTGAAAGAGTACAACTAATTGCTTCGGTTATCTCTGGGACTGTAAACTTCTGGATCTCGGTCTTCATTCTTCCACATGGTTGTATTAAGAAAATTGAATCGCTGTGTTCTCGGTTCCTCTGGTCAGGAAACTTGGATATATCCAAAGGAGCGAAGGTGGCTTGGTCTACTGTCTGTCTCCCTAGAGAAGAATGGGGACTTGGTCTTCGAAATTTCTCTGTTTGGAACAAGGCTCTCTATCTTCGATACATTTGGCGTCTGTTCTCGGACAGTGTTTCCTTATGGGTGGCATGGCACCGTTTTCACCATTTTGGAACCATTAGCTTTTGGGCGGTGGAGCAATCAACTATGGATTCCTGGACTTGGAAGCAATTGCGAAAGCTCAAGAATGTGGCATTCAAGTTTATCAAAGGAGTAGTGAGAGACTGTCGAAGAATAAGCTTCTGGTTTGATGTTTGGACACCTTTCGGGCAGTTAATAAGGTATTTGGGACCATCGGGTCCATCTACCTTGAGAATCCCGCTTCACGCTAAGGGGGCAGAGGCTTGTAACCACAACGGTTGGAATGTCGCCAACCCGAGAAGCGAACAAGCAGTAAATCTACTTGTCCATCTTACCACGGTACAACCTCCAACCTTAATCGTAGCTGCAGATGAGTTTGATTGGAGTGTTGAAGGAGTCAGCTCAAAGGATTATTCTTCGTCCAGAACTTGGGAAGCTATGAGACCTAGGGCTGGGGTGAAGGACTGGGCAGATCAGGTCTGGTTTAAAGAGATAATACCAAAGCATTCTTTCATAATGTGGATTGCTAATTTAAATAGACTGCTGACAAGGGTTCGTCTTGCTTCTTGGGGTCTTCAGATTTCAACAGATTGCTGCCTTTGCTCCAGATTCGAAGAAACTCATGATCATATGCTCATCACTTGTGATTATAGTTCTGAGGTTTGGAAGCTGATTTTTTCGAAATTGGGTCATCCTCAGCGTATGTTCAGAACCTGGACAGAACTTCTCTCTTAGATTAAAGAAAATTCAGCTTGGGCCCCTCTATTCTCCGGAAACTAGCGGCACAAACAACAATTTTTCACTTTTGGAAATAAAGGAACAATGTCTTGCACAATCAGGTTTCAATCCCCACAATGACCATCTTCAAGGATATAGATCGAGAGGTCAGAAACACAATCACTACGAGAAAACAGAGAAAGCATTTTGGTAACTTAATGTCCCTTTGGCTTAGATAACACTTTGATGTTTTACCCACTTAATAGTGCTTCCTTGTTTTTATTTGGGTTTTTTTGCTATCTAACCATATTTACAAAACAATAGAAGAATATAGTCATGATATTTGACAAATTAGTAAACTAATCATGGCCCACAATCAATTATCGAAAATAACCTTGTACTATATTATACTATATACTATACTATATATAATTTTATGGAATAGTACTTTATTTGATATAGTATATACAGAAAAGAGAGCAAGGAAGAGAAAAAGACGAGAGAGGAGGGGAGAAGAGGAAAGAGGAGGCAAGGAGAGGGGAAGGGGAGGAGGAGAGATGAGATGAGTGGAGGTGAGCAGAAGAGAGGAAATAAGAGTATAGTATAGTATAGTAGTGTAATCTATTAAACGAAGGGGTTTTTAGTATATATTGTAGAATATATAAGGAATATAATAGCTCTTATATTGGTATGGTTACTTTCCAAATTATAGGTATTTATATGGCTATATCAGCCAATTTTCCTTTTTATTTCTTTTTTGTCAAGTACAAATTTTTAGATTTGCTTTATGAAAAATCTACCTTTTATTTTTAATAATATTTACAATTGTGGCAAAAAAAATATATATACATATATATATAAGTTCTCATTTACTATTAATGTTATGGTTGGTATGTTTCTGGATAAAAGAAAGAAAAAACAATTAAAAAAAGAAGAAAAATTGATTTACTTAAAAATATTTTAAAACAAGATCATGATACTGAGAAGCGGATTTAAAACAGTTTACATTAGGAAAAGCTTATTGAGAAGAGGAGAGAAGCCACAATGGTTTCATATTATACAAAGATGACCAAACCCATAGAAAAATAGATAGTGTCAGAATGTCAAGATATCTCCGAATACATATACACACTTCCACACGATTATGATTTCTGAACGGTGTTGGATTGGACAAACGAAGAACAGTGTAACAAAATCAAAAAAAATAAATATTTGCAATGTTTCTCATTTTAGTTTATGATTTCCTTCATTATTTCTAATAATTTTCATTCATGAAATCATTTTAGAAATTTCCAAAAAGAACAAATTTACAAGAAAAATTCCAAACAAAAAAATCTTTTTCGGAATACAGATTTAGATAAATTACATCATACATTCTGTCTAAATAAAATTCATATAATATAAAATGAAATTTAAAGTTTACAGAAAAAAAAAAACTAAAAGCCACAACACTTTAATCAAATTTCTTTAGGTCTTGAAATTTTTAGAACCGGCCTTGGTATCAATGAAAGGGTAAAACTCATACCTAAAGGTACAACTTCTACCTACAGCTCTCGCTCCTCGTTTATAGTACAAGCATTTTTGAAATTTCAAGAGATTACTTCCGAGACACTCCTCACAATCCGTTGACGAGATGTCTTGCATACATTGCACCATTCTGTACAGTTTGTCCTTCCCCAACCTCCTCTCCCCCGCAGCGTACAGCGGCGACGGGTTTTTTTCACTGATGGCTTTAGTTGTCAGATTGTTGATGAAAATCAGCCAGTTCATGTTAGAATAATTGTCGACACTAAATGTTTTCGCATTGGACATACAAAAATTGTTCTTGTAATCGATCTTCTCGAACGTATTGATGCAGAAATCTCGAGAAGACATTGGTCGTACCATATTATTCCCCCTTTGTTTTTTTGGACATCTCCTACGAAGCTGTCACACACAATTTTCATATCTATCCCACAATCTGAGCATAATATTAGTTTTGCATGCGTGGATTCATACATGCATGTAAATATTTTTTTTTTTTAATTTACCAAAATGTTGTGGGCCGAAACCCTTAATTTTCTAGATCCGGAATCAGAGCATAATATTAGTTTTGTTTCAAACCACTCAAATGTGTAACTTTTAGGTTTTACCTAAAATACTTTTTCCAGTTGTGGTTACGACACAAATGATTTCATACATGTAAATTTGTGCATCTAATAATAATATATTGAGGTGAAGTTACCTCAGAGGCGGTGTTGGTAAAGCAAGAGCGGCATTTGGGCCCATAGGAGTCGCCGCGGCACTGATGAGTGACGGAGACGAAATTAGGACCTTTACCAAGGGACATCATTTTGAAACCACGGCTAAAATTACTGGTCAAAGGGATGGATTTGATGATATCATTGAGGTCTTTCTCGTACGCACTTCCGGGATTGTATTTCCCTTGACTGACAAAGCATGTGTGGTGAAGATACGCATTAGTTATGTTCAAGGACGAAATGCTGCGTAAAAGGAGAAATTGTATGGCCACCACGACGAAGGTAGGGACCAAAGCGAGACGTTTTGGTACAGACAAGGAAGAGTACATTGTTCTTCTTCTTTTTTCCAAAAGAGGTTTGTTTCTTTATAAATGAAGCGTTGAGACTGTGATGTTTGTGTATGATGACTGGGAGGGATTTCGATATTGAATGGAGATGTCTTTTTTTATATATAAATAGTTCTATAATACGAAATTCGATTGATGAATTCAGCTTCTAGAAGAAAAGTTTACAGTGTGTAACGGACATGAGAGAAGAGTTGGGACCTAAGACTTTTGCGGCGACAAAAGGGTAAGACTGAGTTCAAACTCTTAGAATCACACGATTTGTATGGTGCAAAACTCGAATGAAGGACTTGTTAATTTCTATAATTATCAGATTCTTTGGATATTTTTTTTGTTTGGTGGTATGATTCCAACTTTAGTTTCATCTACAAATAGCATTATTATACATAATAGCAGACCTAAGTAAGAAAGGACACAAACAGGTCCCATTTCCACGGTAATATTGATGGAAGACGGTAGAGAAGCTATAGTATAGATTGTTGCGTATTATACAAAGACGAAAAAACTCATCGCGTAAGGAATATGGTCATAATGTCAAGAAAGTCCGTGTGGGATTGGGCTGAAGAAGAACAAGAACATAACCAAAGGTCGGAAGCCAGATCTTATGATCGAAGCCTGGAAATACCACCATAAGTGGTTAGGGAGATCTTAAGACCTGTGAGGATTTTGAATGTTTAATTCTTTTATAACAATAAGAGAAACCACCTTTAAATAAAAACATTTACCAAAGTACATCATACATTTCTGTCTAAATAAAATAATAAATTCATGTTTTTTTATAAATTCATGTCTATCAATATAAAATAAAATTTAAAGTTTACAGACAAAATAAAACAAAAATTAAAGGCCAGCCACATTTCTTTTTATCAGATTTCTTTAGGTCTTCAAATATTTAGGACCGGCCTTGGTTAGCAATAAAAGGGTAAAACTCATACTTAAAGCCACAACTTCTACCTATAACTCTCGCTCCTCGTTTATAATTCAAGCATTTTTGGAATTTCACGCTACTATGTCCCAGACACTCTTTACAACCCTTGTACGAGATGTCTTTCATACACTGCACCATTCCGTACAGCTTCTCCTTCCCGAACCTCCTCTCCCCCACCGTGTACAGCGGCGACGGGTTTTTTTCATCGATGGCTTTAGTTGTTAGATTGTGGATGAGAGTCATCCAGTCAATGTTAGAATACTTATCGACGCTAAATGTTTTCGCATTGGACATACAGAAATTGTTGTCGTAATCAATCTTCCCGAAAGTATCTGTAAGTGTAGAAAACAGGCACACACAATCAATGACTTGGAAAGCGCCAAGTCGAACGTTAGGATTTATTATTTTGAATCAACAATTTAATTAACTGATTACAATTGCTTGGATTTGTGCAACTCTACTCTTAGAAAGCAACCAAACGATTCCTAGTAACAAAACCTACACTTCTCTTGATCCCACAACACGTGTATCAGAGAAGAGGACACTAACCTTCTTCCTATGTCTTTTTTTGAGGTACAAGGTAAAGCTGTATCAATTGCGGTGCAAAGTGTGTCTTTGTACTTTACCCGACTTCAAACTATATATACTCTACGAAGCCTAAACCTAGACCCATATTACCAAACTCTCGTAAGGTAAGTTTCCATTTGTTCTCCTTGCGTGCTCTCCAAGCTCCTCCTTGAATTGCCACGTCATTAGCTCCACATCAGCTACAAGCTTCCTTCCTGTATCCTGATATCCCGCCTGAGTTGTTTGCTGATTCCACATCTTCAATCTCCCACTTTTTGACTTAGTTTGATACTTAAGCATCTCCTCAAGAATAACCTGATAAGTCAGCACAAAGCAAACAGCAAAACAGAGAACACACATACGAGAGCAAAAGATTCCCTACGATTAAACTAAGCTGGTAACGTTAAGGTTCTTAAGTTACAGACCCGAGAATCAAAGAGCGACTTTAAAAGCTAAAGTTCTGTGCGCTCAGCAAAAACAATCAAAAGAGAAAAAAACAGAAAACTAAATTTTCTCCCCCATTAACCCTGCTCCCCCATATTGTCCTGTGAATCTCTCCCTGCTTAAGAGCATAATTAAGTCAAAAACATTAGGTGAACAGGCAACAGAGAAGAGATCAGAGAAAAACTTACCTCCCTGAAGTAGTCTGCTGATGATAGACACGGATTGTGTCAGCACACGACGATCGGCAGTCGTAACAACCAGAGAGGCAGTGGAGGTCGTCGCAACTTCCACACCATCTGGCTTGCCCTCATTCTTCACACTGATCACAGGAGGTGCACGAAACGCCAACACAGGATCCATCCGAACACTAGAATCAATAAGAATGGGTCCCTGACGCTGGATCATCTTGTAGATTAAACTCGGATAAGGCAGAAAAAACTTAGATCCTGGATGCCTTGCAAGACTGAGGATGTGGTCAAACACCATTTCACCAAAGTCAAAAGGAACCTTAGTGAGAATCTTGTGCACCAGGCGAGCACGATTCTTGTTGGAGAAACCAGTGTTGAACGTGGGTATCCAGTTGTGACAGCTGATCTTGAAGAGAGCCCACTTATCAGACTGATAATGACCTAACGCCAAATTTTCCCACACACTCACACTACCACCACTCATAAACATTGCCAGTTGATCATCAGAAAGTAACTCCTCCCCCACATTGACACTCTCCATGGCCATTAACTCAAGACCAAAAAGTTGATTGATGACAGCCGGTGAGAAGACATACTCATTACCTCGCAAGAACAGCCGAACTTCACCATCAGAGATCTTGTTGTCAGGGAGATGTGCCCAGAACTCACGAACCACCGTGGGTTGAAAGCGATTGATCCCGGAGACAGTCGGAATCAGTCCAGCCTCTTGAATGCTGGTCTCAACTCCGGCGGGAGGTGATTTCAGATCAACCTCACGCTCAGCAAGAAAGTTCCTATTGAGAAATAAATCGAAGCGATCACTGGCTTGCTGAGTCAAAAAACGAGACTCATCGAACTGAGAGGGCGAGGAGGGAGCCTTCTTCTTCGATGGTCGGTTCTTCTTCTTCAAGGGTTCGACTGGCGACGATTTATCTGCCTTAGACTCAGATTTGATGCGACGCTTGCTTCGACAGGTGGCACGAGCACTGGAGACAGATGGTTGTTTGGCAGAGACAAATTCCAGAGAAGGAGATCGGCTACGACTCCGAGACTGCGCACAGGATTCTGCATGTCGCGATGTTGGGGAAGACACGCGAGGAGGCGAAGCAGCACGAGACACCGAGTCGGCTGGAGGAGGGATCTTGGGAACATAAGGCACGATGGCCAAACAGTCGGAGGATCCGATGTTGTCAGCGCCACCAGCAAGAGCCGGGGGTGCTTCATCAACGGCCGTACTGACCGGAGCACCAACGAAACGCGAGAGACCGGAGAGAAACGACTTCATTGCTAGGGAACTGTGACTGACTGAAACCCTAGAAAAATGAGCGGTTGAGAGATAATGACCCAACTGTTCACTTTCCCTCTCTTATACCTTAGAAGCACCGTTTTCCTCCAAACGACACATACCTTCGTGGGCCCGAAAACATGCTTTTAATGGGCATGCACATAAAGTCTTACAGCAAAAAAAACTCAAAAGATGAGCAAGTCAGATCCGTTAACGGTTAGGAAACACTCAACCAATTCATCAGACAGAGAGCACTAGTATAACAGTCTGTCCATCAACACACAACGGGCACTTCATTGTCACTAAACACAGACTTGATGATAAGGAACTCAAGGTGAGGTGAGAAGCAAGCCAATTACTCATATCTTATCACATGTGTGTGCACTCGGGGACATTCTCCTGATGATCCAGAACATGGAACAGACCCAGTCTCAGCCACCCATGGTATACGAAAAAAATATATGAGTCTCTGGATTCAGGGGTTGACTTTCACATTGAGATACCTTTATCCCTGGTTCAGAACAGCTTTCAACCCCGGCAGTTTCTGTACTGACACGTCAAAGCTTTTTGACAGAGAATAGACCAGTGATAATGTAAGTGCCATCACTGATGATTGTCCATCTCAGGCCTATCATTACGAAGACACTGGTGCTACATGGTCTTGTCACTCAGTCAGATCCACTTTAAAATTACGCTTTTAAATTTTCATTATATTTTTTTTTTTTTAATTTGATCTGTTGAGGACTCACACTTTCTCCAGCTCATGTGTCAGTTTATGGAAGCCTGCAACTAATGCTGATTGACCAGAGACAGTACCTCAGGCAGCCTTCTACCACTGAACACTATATATTCAGAGACCCCCCTTTTAAAAGAAAACTGAAATCTGGTGCTGAGTTCGCTCCTGTTCCTGTTCCTGTCCAAGATCACAGGAACTCACACACATATGATTAATACTCGCAGACACCAATGGACTTCCTCAGACTGATAAATCTGTTGAAATCCAGTGGTTTAGTGAATAAATCAGCAAGCTGATATTCAGTGCTCACGTGGCTGATCTCAATTAGTTTTTCCTCAACAAGTTCTCTTATGAAGTGATGTCTGATATCTATGTGTTTAGTGCGTGAGTTCTGAACAGGATCTTTAGCAATATTAATAGCACTCTCATTATCACAATGAATTAGAAGAGATTTAGATTCCATACCATAGTCAGCGGTCATCTGCTTCATCCACAAGAGTTGAGCGCATCCACTACCCAGAGCAATGTATTCGGCCTCCGTTGTCGATAGTGAAACGCTGTTCTGCTTCTTGCTATGCCAGGATATAAGATTGTTCCCTAAGAAGAAACATCCTCCACTCGTGCTTCGTCGATCGTCTAAACATCCTGCCCAGTCAGCATCACAGTACCCTGCAAGATTCTGATTGGTGTCGACAGTATATAGCAGTCCCATATCTATTGTTCCTTTGACATATTTGATAATTCGCTTGACCGCTTGGAGATGAGACATCTTAGGATTTGCCTGATACCGAGCACAGATACCCACGCTGAGACACATATCAGGTCGACTTGCAGTGAGGTAGAGAAGACTTCCAATCATTCCACGATACAGCTTGGCGTCAACATCCTCTCCCTGTAATCGCGTGACAGCTTGCAGTTTGTAGCCATGGGCGTCCTGGCTATCTTACTCTTGTCAAGACTAAACCTTGCAACCAAGTTTCTTGCATATGTGCTCTGAGTTATGAAGACACTCTCGTCTGATTGCTTGATCTGAAAACCCAGAAAGTAGTTCAGCTCACCAACCATACTCATCTCAAACTCTCTTGTCATTGTGGCAACAAACTCATCTACCAGCTTTTGATTTGTAGCTCCAAACACAATATCATCAACATATATTTGCACTACCATGAACCCTGATTTCCGGTGAATGATGAACAGTGTCTTATCAACACTCCCTCGCTGATAGCCGTTTTTCATCAGGAATGTCGTCAGCCTTTCATACCATGCACGAGGCGCTTGTTTCAGACCGTAGAGTGCTTTCTGGAGCTTGTACACATACTGGGGGTGTTTTGCATCTTCAAACCCCTTAGTTTGTTCAACAAAAACTTCTTCTTGAAGAATCCCATTCAGGAAGGCACTCTTAACATCCATCTGATGTAGCTTGATTTGAAGTTTACAAGCCATACCAACAAGCAGTCGAATGGATTCAAGTCTTGCCACAGGTGCGAAGGTTTCATCGAAGTCTACTCTTTCAACCTTGGAGTATCCTTGAGCTACCAGACGTGCCTTGTTTCGAACCACATATCCATGCTCATCACTTTTATTCTTAAAGATCCATTTGGTTCCAACAACATTTGCACCCATTGGTCTGGGAACTAGAGTCCAGACCTGATTTTTCTCAAACTGTTCCAGCTCGTCTTGCATAGCCTTGATCCAGTATTCATCTATCAGCGCCTCCTTGTGATTCTTCGGTTCAATAGTAGACACAAAGCTAGCAAATCTCACCATATTTTTGAAGTCCAATTTGATGTGGCGTGTGACTCTTGCGCCATCAATGTCACCTATTACTTGCTCCTTACGGTGATCTTTTTGTACCTTTTGAACTCTTGCACTGGGAACTGGAGTGAGGTGTTGTCCTGATATATCCGTTTGTCCTGCAGAGGTTGGCTCAGTGGAGTCATCGGCTTCTGAATCTGTTTGACTCTCTGTTTCATGTGCTGAATCCTTTTCTGAGTCCTCACCATTTTGTACTTGACCCTGCCCGTTCGCATCAGCGCTTTCCTCAGTATGTTCTGACTTCTTCGTTGCTGAATCAACATGATCAACCAATGGGTATATCAGGCCCTGCGAAGCAATGTCATCAAAGACAACATTTACCGTTTCTTGAACTTGAAGGGATTTTTTGTTGAAGACCCTGAAAGCGGTGCTAGTTCCTGAGTAGCCAAGAAATATTCCTTCAGAGCTTCTTGAGTCAAATTTTCCCAAGTGATCCTTGTCATTCAGGATGTAGCACGAACATCCAAAGACATGAAAGTAGCTCACATTGGGGGTCTTTCCTTTCCATAGTTCATACGGAGTTTTGTTGACCCTGTTTCTAACATACACACGGTTGATAATGTAACAGGCGGTGTTCAAAGCTTCAGCCCAGAAACGTTTAGCCACCTGGTTCCCATGCAGCATAGCACGAGCCATTTTCTGAAGAGTTCTGTTCTTGCGTTCCACAACTCCATTTTGCTGGGGTGTTCGTGGTGCTGAGTAATGGTGAGTGATTCCCTGTTCACTGCAGAACCGATCAAACACTTCATTCTGAAATTCTCCCCCATGATCGCTTCTGATTGTCTTTATACCAGTCACCCGCTCAGTCTTGAGTTGAAGGGCAAGGATTCTGAAGCTGTCAAACGTGTCCGATTTTTCACGAATGAATCTGACCCAAGTATATCGGGTGTAGTCATCAACCAGGACAAATGCATATCGCTTCCCTCTGATACTTTCAGTTTGCATTGGTCCCATGAGATCCATGTGAACCAAGTCAAGTGCATGATGAGTCTGGATGTCAGGTACAGCTCGATGTTGAACACGCACCTGCTTCCCTTGTGTGCACGGACCACAGACAAAATCACGAACTAACTTGATTTTTGGCATACCACGGATGAGTTCTTTGTCTGCCAGTCTAGCCATTGTGCAAACATTCATGTGTCCAAGCTTCATGTGCCACAGTTGCATATCGGTGGGAGCACCAGTACCGATACTGAGGCACTGAGTAGGTGGAGGTATCCATCTATAGCAGTTGTTGCTGGTGCGAGTTCCATACAAGACGATTTGTCCATTGTCAGTTACTGCTTGACAGGTTTTCCTAGTGAAGCGAACTGAGAGCCCTTCATCACACAGTTGATTTATACTGATCAGGTTAGCTTTCAGCCCATCAACAAAGTAAACTTCAGATAAGTGTAGTTTGGCTGGACCCGATGTTCCTCCTACACCTTTAATTTTTCCTTTAGCACCACCTCCAAAGGTAACTCTGCCTGTTGACACCTTAATTATCCCATTCAGCTCGCCCTGAGTACCTGTCATGTGTCTTGAACAGCCACTATCAAAGTACCATGGGGCATCCTCTGAGTCTTGTCCTGCATGCACAACTGTTAGAGCACGATTATCACCAGACTGCATTTTCTTGATCCATCCCTGATTCCGATGTTTTCCATTCCAGAAGAACTGATTTTGGCTGATTAGGTGCTGAATGTCTTTCTGAAGACGATAGCAATGAATCTTGATGTGTCCTGGCTTCCCACAGTAATAACAACCAGATAGTCTACCGTTTCTGTAGACCTCACTGACGTTGTGCTTTACGGCTCTGTTCCGTGCAGCTGACTTCTTAGGTTGCTTTACTGGACTGTTTCCTGAGACCGCCGCCTTCCCAATTGGTCTGTTAGGATGCACAGGTGACTGTCTTTGCTGAGGAAGTTCTGAGCCACGAACAAATTGAGTTGGTCGACCAGGCGTAGTCCCGTATATCCAAGGCCATAGTTGCTCTTGCTTGACTGTCCGATGCTCAGAAGTTTATCAAGATCTTTGGTTCCCTTTGATAGCATCTTGATGTTTCGGAGCTGCTCAGACAAACGCCCATTCAGCTCCCGATTCTTCTCTTGTTCTTCAGCGAGAAGACTCTTGAGAAAGTCTGAGAACTTGACTTGTTCAGTAAGCTGGTTTTCAGCAACTTCAACCTCACACTGCAAGACAAAGATCTTGTCATCCTTTTCTTCAATTATCTGAGTGTTGCTCTGAAGACTGCCCTGCAATGTTGTGATCTATTTGTCTTTATCCGAAATATGCTGCATCAGATCTTCCTTTTCTTTACTAGCATTGACCATAGCCAGACAGAGAATGCGGTTTTCTTCCGCCAGAATTTCTCCATCATCAAACTCATCATCTCTATCTGATTCTCCCCCAGAATCCGCACCCTCATTGATTACTCCAAGGAATGCCACATAGTTCTGAAGAGACTCCTCGTCACTTTCACTGCTGTCTGACTGAGACTCTTCTTTGATCATCAAAGACCGTTCCTTTCGTTTCTCTTGAGTGACACACTCAGCCCTGATATGACCAAAACCATTGCATTTCTGACACTTGAGCGTCATTCTCTTCTTGGCGGTTGGACACTCAGTTTTAAAGTGTCCATATCTTTCACACTCATGGCACTGTATTTCCGACTTCCTTGAACTTTGTTCAGACCTGGTTTCCAAACTTGATCTTCTTCCGTCCAATCCTGACTTGCGTTGACCTCTGTCGAACTTCTTAAAGTATTTCTTGACAATCAATCCAACTTGATCATCTAGACTGGTTTCCAGAGATTCGCCTTGTTCAGCCGAGAACGCAATACCTTTCCCTTTTGCCTGATTTTTCTGAGATTGTTTCATCTCATATGCTTGCATCATCCCCACGATTTCATTGAACTTCATATCATCTGAGTCTCTTGAAACTTCAATGGCTGATATGTAGGATTGAAATTTGTCAGGAAGGCTTCTCAGAAACTTCTTGACCAGTTTTTTATCCTTGTATGTCTTCCCAAGTACTTGAGCCTCATGTGCAATGGCGCTGAGTTTTCCGCTGAACTGTTCTACTGACTCTCCTGATTCCATGGTCAGCGTTTCAAACTGTGAAGCTAACATGTCCATCCGGGTTCTCCTAACCGTAGAGGTTCCTTCATATGCGGTCTGTAGTATATCCCACCCTGCCTTAGCCGTGGTGCACCCTTGGACTTTCTTGAACTGATCCTTGGTAAGGGAAGTCCAGATTATTGACAAGGCTTTGGAGTTGAATTTAGACCAGGACTTCTCTTCTGCTGTCAAGGTCAATCTTGGTTTGGGTCTTCTCACTCCATCTGTTCCAACAACAGTTGGTTCTGTCCAGCCTTCTTCGACCATGGTCCATGTATCCTCATCATATCCTTTGATGAGAGCCTTGATCTGAACCTTCCACCATCCGTAATTTTCTGCGTCGAGCACCAGAGACTTGCTCGGACCAAGATGTTGCATGTTTTCCATACTTTGTCCCACAATCACACCTGATTAATAAGAACAGACAATTCTTTAGCAGATGCCTGCTCTGATACCAATTGTAAGTGTAGAAAACAGGCACACACAATCAATGACTTGGAAAGCGCCAAGTCGAACGCTAGGATTTATTATTTCGAATCAACAATTTAATCAACTGATTACAATTGCTTGGATTTATGCAACTCTACTCTTAGAAAGCAACCAAACGATTCCTAGTAACAAAACCTACACTTTTCTTGATCCCACAACACGTGTATCAGAGAAGAGGACACTAACCTTCTTCCTATGTCTTTCTTTGAGGTACAAGGTAAAGCTGTATCAATTGCGGCGCAAAGTGTGTCTTTGTACTTTACCCGACTTCAAACTATATATACTCTACGAAGCCTAAACCTAGACCCCTATTACCAAACTCTCGTAAGGTAAGTTTCCATTTGTTCTCCTTGCGTGCTCTCCAAGCTCCTCCTTGAATTGTCACGTCATTAGCTCCACATCAGCTACAAGCTTCCTTCCTGTATCCTGATATCCTGCCTGAGTTGTTTGCTGATTCCATATCTTCAGTATCGATCGCAGAAAAGACGAGAACACATTGGTCGTACCATATTATTCCCCCTTTGTATCTCGGACATCTCTTCTGAAGCTGTCATATATACACATTTTTTGCAAATGTATCCCATAATCAATAACAACATTTAAAATAAAATACAATTATTACCAAAAGGTTTTGGGCCAGAACCCGTAAATCATTCAGACTCAAAATCATTCAGACTCAAAACCAGATCATATAATATTAGTCACGTTCTAAACATCAGTTCATTAATCATTTTGTGACTTTTACGCTTTGTTGATAGAACGATATTTTGTAAATATGTGACGGCTAATCAATAATATTGAGTGAAGTTACCTCAGAGACGGTGGTGGAAAAGCAAGAGCGGCATTTGGGCCCATAGGAGTCGCCGCGGCACTGTTGGGTGACGGAGACGAAACTAGGACCTTCACCAATGGTCCCCATTTCTAGACCGCCACTAAAATTACTGTAAAGGGTTCTCTTGATGATATCTTTGAGGCCTTTCTCGTACTCACTTCCCGGCTTGTATTTCCCTTGACTGGCGAAGCATGTGTGGTGCAGATACGCATTAGTCGTGTTCAACGATGAAACGCTACCTATAAGGAGAAATTGTATGTTCATGACGGCCAAGATAGGGACTAAGCCTTTTGATAAAGACGAAGAAGAGTACATTGTTTTGGATATCTTTCTTTCTCCCATTTATTTATTTTCCAAAGAGATATGTCTCTTTGTAGATGAAGCGTTGAGACTGTGATGTTTGTGTATGAGACTCGGATGGATTTCTATATTGAATGGAGATGACTTTTATGATTGTTTTATATAGTTACCTTTTACGAAATCCGATTGATAAATTCAGATCGACAGTGTGTAACAGACATGAGAGAAGAGTTGGGACCTAAGACTTTTGCGGCGACAAAAGGGTGAGACTGAGTTCAGAATATTACAATCACACGATTTGTACGGCTCTAAACTCAAATGAAGGAATTGTATATTTCTATAATTATCAGATTCTTTGTTTTTTTTTTGGCTATAAAATTCCAACTTTAGTTTCATCTTCAAATAGAATCATTATACATACTAGCAGAGCTAAGTAGAATAGAAGAGACAACGCTAATACGACACTACAAGATAACAGATCCCATTTCCATGGTAATATTGATGGAAAATGGTACATTGTTGCATATTATACAAAGACGACAAAACTCATAGCGTAAGATATATTTTCAGAATGTCAATAAAGCCTCGGACATACTTGCACAGTGTTGGATTTGGCTGAAGAAGAACAAGAACATAATTAAAACTCGGAAGTAAGATCTTATAATCAAAGCCTGAAAATTATACCATCATAAGTGGTAAGGGAGATCTTAAGACAAGTTGGGATTTTGAATTAATGTTTAATTCTTTCAAAACAATAAGAGCAACCACCTTTGAATCAAAGCATTTACCAAAGTACATCATACACTTCTGTCTACATATAATAATAAATTCATGTATATCAATATAAAATAAAATTTAAAGTTTACAGAAAAAAAAAAAAAACTATAAGGCCACATTTCTTTTATCAGATTTCTTTAGGTCTTCAAATATTTAGGACCGGCCTTGGTAGCAATAAAAGGGTAAAACTCATACCTCAAGCTACAACTGATACCTATAACTCTCGCTCCTCGTTTATAATTCAAGCAATCTTGAAACTTCACGATAATATATGTGACACACTCGTCACAACCCTTTGGCGAGATGTCTGGCATACACTGAACCATTCCGTACAGCTTCTCCTTCCCGAACCTCCTCTCCCCCACCGCGTACAGCGGCGACGGATTTTTTTTACTGATGGCTTTAGTTGTCAGATTGCGGATGAGAGTCATCCAGTCCGTGTTAGAATAATTATCGACGCTATACTCTTTCGCATTGGACATACAGAAATTGTTGTCGTAATCAATCTTCCCGAATGAATCGATCGCAGAAAAGACGAGAAAACATTGGTCGTACCATATTATTCCCCCTTTGTATCTCGGACATCTCCTTTGAAGCTGTCATGTATATACATTTTTGCAAATCGATCCCACAATCAATAACAAGATTGCATGATGTATATATACCAAAAAAGTTTTGGGCCGAAACGCATAAATTCTCGACACTCAAAACCGGATCATACATAATATTAGTTTTATCCCAAGGGTCATTCGATTAATTTTGTGACCTCTACGCTTTGTTTAAATTACTTCTAGTTGAGATAACGATATTTTGTAAATATATGACGGGTAATTAATAATATTGAAGTGAAGTTACCTCAAGGACGGTGGTGGCAAAGCAAGAGCGACATTTGGGCCCATAGGAGTCGCCACGGTACACATGGGTGACGGAGACGTAACTAGGACCTTTACCATAGGATGACATTTCTAAACCGTGGGTAAAGTCACCGTTAGGCATGCCCTTGATGAGATCTTTGAGGTCTTTCTCGTACTGACTTCCCGGCTTATATTCCCTTGACTGTCAAAGCATGTGTGGTGTAGATACGCATTAGTCGTGTTCAACGACGAAACGCTGCGTATGAGGAGAAATTGTATGTTCACCACGGCCAAGAGCAAAGCGAGCCATTTTGACACAGAGGAAGAAGAGTACATCGTTTTGGATATCTTTCTTCCTCTCTTTTCTTTTTTTTTTTCCTCCAAAGAAGGATGTTTCTTTGTAGATGAAGCGTTGAGACTGTGATGTTTGCGTATGAGACTTGGAGGTATTTTGATATTGAATATTTTTAATAAAATTACCTTATACGAAATTCGATTGATAAATTCAGATTATCAGTGTGTAACAGACAGGAGAGAAGAGTTATGACCTAAGACTTTTGCGGCGACAAAAGGGTGAGACTGAGTTCAAAAACTCTTACAATCACACAATTTGTACGGTGCTAAACTTAAACTCTTACATGGGCTTCACTGATTGGACCATTTATATTTGGGCCTACGTTGCCCGGATTACAAAGACCTGGATACTTGGGTGGGATTAAAATGATGGAAAAAGTTTGCTATAAACTTAATTTTCCATGAATCCAACTGACTTTTCTTTCAAAATTGCAATCTCTCCACTTTCCATCGTACCGATTCTTCTGCCAAACCAGTGATCATTTCACTATTCACGCTATTTTAAGCACAAAACAATGATTTTTCAAGTTCACACTGGTTTCTTTCTTAAATAAAAAAGGTCACCAAGAAATCTTTTTGATTTAGATGTTGTTTCTACGATATATATATATATATATATGCTCTTTGATTTTTGTGAATATTATTAATTGACTTTATTACAATATATATACTCGAGCATCCATTACTTACATATTTAAGAAATTGTTTCATTCACTATTTTACAATACTACTATAGTTTTCTTTGGAAACCGGTTTTACAAACGAAAAACATCTTGACTCCAACATCACGATTTTGGAAATAAGACATCATATCACCGTCCGGGTATCGTCTAACATTTTCTTCCACATGAATCAAAAACTATTAGAAAGATATTTTATATACTAGCCAAGGTTGTAGTTACGCGTATACATGCGTAAATGTGATAACATGTCCTACGTACCAACTATATGATAAATAAATACAAAATATCGCAATAATAAAACTCCAAAAAAATAATGGTCACATACTTTTGGAAAGATTGGACGGCTAAGGTCTCGTACCAACAGGCAACAATAAACAACAGACAGAAAAATCTGAGGACAACATGAGAAACAGAAAAAAGCTTTGGATTTTGAATTAATATGATCCACACAAGTGGACTTACGCATCAACACTGAATCAACTTGTGGACAACAACGTCTCTTTTTTTTTCCATAACGTATCAAACACAGAAAGTTAATTATATTCTTGGTCTCATTATTAATGATATCGGTGTAATAACTGTTCGTATTTTTGTCTCAGTCGATACCACCCGTTTTCTTAAATTAATTCGTATAGCTCCTTTTAGGGTAAAAGGTGTAGATCAGAGATATCCATTAATTTTTAGGTCTCATAAGCAAAGCAGACTCATTATTCTACTCTTAAGTCGAATTCCTGATCTTGAAAACTCTTCTTTAGATCTGAGAGATAACTATTTTTAGATAGAAGTTGAGTTATGCACATCACTTTTGGATTATTTTGTTCGTTAATGGCATGCCCTACTGCAGTTATATTGCTTTTGGAACTGTAAATGAGGTTATGAGCGCTTGACTAAAAATATGAAAAAAATGAGTAAAAACGAAATAAACAATTTTATTTAATGGATTTACATAAACTAGTATATGTTTTCAAGTGGGTCTTATTTAGTCTATAAACTATATACTATTAAAGTTGTTTTCATTTAATCTAGTAGTTGTGTAATATCAAAAGCTTATATATTTAATATATATAATTATTTCGTTTAACATGTAGTGAATTATTATGTCGTGAACTAATAGATCGTTTATCGTCCATAAGAAAAAAACTAAATTGTTTACGTTTTTTTGTACGAGTTATATCCATGTCAAACAAGTATAGGTTAATCGGCTTCTACATCTGGGAAATTGCTCTAGTTGAACCAACATGGAAAACATCTACCCCAATATAAGTTGTATAATTTTAAGGTTTTGATTTGGTCCGGTAATCTCCAGTACTAAACCCCTATATATGTTGTGGAATATAACCTATATAAGATTAAATATTATTCGAGATCTTTGTGGTATTATAACATTATAACTATATCTATCTTCACGTATTTTTGTACTAGTTTATAACAGTTGTTTTGGACGGCTACTAGTTTCTGACAATTAAGTTACAAAAATGTTTAACTCGTCCATTACATGTGTAAACGATGGCGACGGATATGATATGTTGCTTATGTGTTCAACGATAACAAGATATGTTAATAGCTACGATGCATATTGTTATTGGCAAATAGTTGTAACAAAATATTAATATTTTTAACTTCTTAACATTAAAACCCTATGTTAAAAAAAAACAACATTAAAAACCCCCCAAAAAGTTAACAGTATACATTTTTGTAATAATTAATTTTGTTCAAAAATGATTCAAGCGTATATTTAATGTATGTCGTGAATTTGTCAAAAATGAAATTAGAGATTAATCTTTAGATAAATATTGGGTCATTTGTTTGAATAACTCATTTGTAATGTTACCGGGTTATATAAAACTTCGTTCACGAATAATGTAATGTTATAGCTAAAATCGAATATTGTGAGGTTACACTGCTTTTCGATTGCATATATACGTGTTAGCAAGCAATCACACGCAATTTATGGTATTCTAATAATCAACCCTTATAAATTAAAACAAAAAAAAACCTTATAAATTAACTGATATTATTCGCAGTTCGTGGGGTACCTTTCATTAAAAACAAGCATATAAATGACTAAGAAAAAACTATAAAAAAAGCTTTAAATGTGAACCATACAAGTGAAGTCCTCTTTGCTTGTTCTGATAGTAAGCTTATATAATTAAATAAAAGTTGACTGATTAACCACCGCACAATGGCCCAAAGACAACTAATAACAAAGATTTATATTGATCATATCACCCTAAATTCTAGCCGTTTCTTTTCTTATATGTATACCCCACTTTCCTCCACTAATTACTTGTGTGTATGATTTATTTCTTTATAGCCAGTCCCTTGTTTTTAAGATAATTATGTCACAAATAATAACTGTTTTGTTTCATCGTATATGAGTACATCGTAATCATTTTACATATTACAACATAATACAATTAACATCAAATCTCCTCCAAAGAAAAGAACAAAAAAAAAACATAATGATTCATATGAAGTGGTTGGCGATGTAAACGAAAGACTCGTACTATGGAGTTTTGTTTTTGAAAACTTGAAAAATGTGCATATGAGGCGAAAGGATCGCTTGGAGGAGAAAAGTTTTCACAAAATTGACGATTTTACCCTCTTAAGGGCATTTACGTCAAACTATCAGGGCAGTATTCATCCACGTGTACAACACAACACACACATCATTTTGATCATTTCTTTTATGAAAAAATATTTAAAAAATCTTCAATTGTTTTTTAACAAACAATAATATTCCTATATAAATGGTTAACGTTTCTCCGACTTACAAATCTTCTTTCCCCAATAGCCACCAGAAGAAGAGAGAGAAAGGATCAAAGATACAAAAAGAGAGAGAAAGAGAGAGATAGAATCAAATTAAAGCCACAAGAGAGGGAATAAGAGAGAGAGAGAGAGATTGAGAAAATGTGTAGAGGCGTGAATGAAGAAGAGAGCAGAAGCGACGGAGGCTGCCGGAGTCTCTGTACGAGACCGAGTGCTCCGGTTAGATGCGAGCTCTGTGGCGGCGACGCCTCCGTGTTTTGCGAGGCGGACTCGGCCTTTCTCTGTAGGAAATGCGACCGGTGGGTTCACGGTGCAAATTTTCTAGCTTGGAGACACGTGCGGCGCGTGCTCTGCACCGCCTGTCAGAAACTCACTCGCCGGTGCCTCGTCGGAAACCACTACCACGTTGTGTTACCGGCGGAGACGGCGGGAGAAGCAACCGCTGAGGAAACGATACGGAGTGAACAAGATAGTGGCGATCACGAGATTCCGTTTGTGTTTCTCTAGCTGATTTAGTTTTCTTTCTTCGTTTTTTTGGTGTAAGATATAAATATTCTTAGGGTTTTTATGCATTTTTCTATTAAAAAAAAATATCTGAGAAAATTTAATATATGAAGCTCTAATTAGAAATTTAAGAAATGGGTATTGACCAAAATAGCAAAAAGTTTCTACAACTGAAAGGAAAAAAAGAGGGATTATTCTTCGAATCTAAAACTATATTCTTGTAGCTATATTGTACTACTCTGCAGTGTTATTCAAACAGATATAATAAAATTAAATCACCAAACACAAAATTGAAGTAAGAATCAATCGAACTGTGCAGTCTCCAGATACAGAGGAATTAATAATAGAGTCAGTTTTGGCTTTTTGTTGGTTTATTAGCCTTCTTCTTGTCTTTCATACTTTTTTCTACTTATCATTTTCCTTAGTGATATATAAGAATCACTACCAAACTTTTCACATGTGAAACATCTTCTTCATGCAATGCTAAATGTTTGTGTATGGCTCCTTCAACCTATAACTAATCAGTACTACTAATCAAGTGAACTTAAGAAAGACAATTATTCTATAAGACAAAGATGATGCAATTAAGAACTAGTTTCTATCTGGACTTTGATAGTTCAACAATCCGTGTACAAGCTGACCAATTAAAAGAGAAAAGTCTAAAAAAATCAAGAGTTTAAGTACTAACCATGGGAAGAGACTAGTTCAACTTGCTCCGATTCTTGGTCCGAAAAAAATAGGGACCTATAAGACACGTTAAGCGCGTGCTCTGTACCGCGTTATGGAGAAAAGACAGAGAATGAAGCATATTGTAATCACTGCAACTTTATTTATCAAAAAAAAAATAGCTAAAAACATTATTTGTAAAGAGAGGAATTATGATTTGTCCTATACTCCTATTAAAGGAGACCCCATAAACATCAAAAACAAAAAAAAAGACAATTCTGTAAATAAATGAAGCAGAATTACAATATTTTCACCATCTTGGTTTCCACCCTCTGCGTCACTTTCACAACGTCTAAAACTCTTCTTGCAGTTCTCCAACGTTCTCATGCCGAAACATATTGATTTCATCGATTCAATAAAAAAAACTGCGAACAATAAGATAAAACGATTACGTTACTTTTCCGACAAGAAACTGTTTTACCACTAAAAGTAAGTTAAGTAACCATATGATGTCAACATTAGAAGATATACATTGTATTAGGGAAAAGCAAAAATCACTGGTTCGTCGGTGGTGATGATGGGTCGTAGTCATAATTATCGCCAGCTTTCACAAATCTTCCTTTCACCCTCTTTCTCGTGTCAGCTCTCGCTTTGCGAGATGCATATCGAATCTGTTTCCCAAAACTACAATACAAAAAATTTAAACATGAATCCAATTTTGTTATGAATTATGTTTTTTTAACAATTTATTAAGAAAAAAAACTTACGACCGCTTTAGTTTCTTCTCTTTGTATCTCAACTTAGCTTGATTCCTTGCTTGTGGACTAACTTCAAGATTCGATTCCCATGGTGAATCGCTCATTATAAACCCTGGAGAAATCCCACAATCCTGATAATCCGCTGCATTGTTTTCACCTGTGATGTTGGAGATGGTAAGCGACATGGGCGGATGGATTTGTCCGAACAAGACAGGTGATGTAGGAAGAGGAAGAGCAAGTCCATTGTTGATGTTCATTTGCAACGGACCTGGCTGAAGATAGCTCGTGCAATCTTGTTGTCGTGGTGGCGATTCCTGAAACAGAATAACCCCAAATTCAAGAAAGGTATATACTTAGATTAGATCAAAAGGAACAAGAGAGAAAGCGATCGAGACCTCTAAAGCGTTGTCTATAGTAAAATTTGAGGCGGTAATAGATGTGTTGTTCTTGTCGATCAAGAGACAATGTGGTGCCGTATGGTCTGATTCTATGTGTTCTTGTGACGAGAATCCGATTATATCATCTCCAACGTCAAAGTTTAACGGTGCATTGTCCAAGTTAAGCCCATCGCATAGATCTTCTTCGCCTTCTTCAAGTTTCAAAACCAAATCAGGACATCCCTAAAAACACACAAACGCAATAAGTGAGAACCGCATTGTCCTTCAAGAACTTATATAAGAAACACGTTTCACGCCTCTCTCTCTTTTTACTACCTTTGATTCCACGGAAAAGAAAGATGATTGATCACTAAGATTCTGAGTGCAACTGATGTTGTGTGCTGCCATGGAATAAGAGGAACCGATCAACCCTTCTAACTCGTTGATCTTCTCCATCCCGAATAAAGTATTGTTAGCATCATCCAAGGGCAAAGAACCAACGAACGGATTAACCAAACAAGAGACCGAAGGTTCAAGAATCGACGACCACATTCTGAAAAATTCTGATGGAGAAGGACAGCCAGAGAAAGGATTGAGGGTTATAAGTCTGTGTCCTAAAACAGAGCAGTCGCTTGCATGCCAATGACACCCTTGACAATATGAAACCTTCTCGTCGAGACAGCGGATTACGCCTGGCTGTGAGAAGCATTTCTCGCAGATCAAAGAGCGTGTGTGCCTGCGAGACAGAGGATTCGCAGAGTGTACATGGACGTCGCAGTTTAGGCAAAGTTTAGCCAAATCGGATTTGCAGTAAATCACTGCTTGTGCGGTTGCACAGTGGTCGCATTTTGGCTCCATATTTGGAGACATGATGAACAAAAAAAATGATTTTGCAAAATGTATAGAGAGAACAAAAAATAGAGTTTTATAATTGAAGGGAGGCGTTTTTGTATACGATCCTGCAAAACAGAGACTCATAAACATTTTAGAGCTGGTTATGAGGAAAAATGTTGAAAGAAAAAAAATGAAAATATGTAGAAATTTATAGATCGTAACAATTCGCATGCATGATGGGGGTTTTGTTTGTATTCAAAATTACGAGAAAAATGTTGTAATTTGTTACGTTTCGAATAAAAAGATGTTTTTGTAAGCTTCTATGGAGAAAGAAGTACTCACTTATGACGGAGATCGATTAGTCCGATTCACAACCTTTACAGAAAGTAGAGAAACTCAAAGCCCATTAACAGAAGATTACAGAAAGAAACAGATTACAGCCTAAAACCAAAATTTTTTTTTTTTGAATCGAGTGAAAGCGAAGAACGAAAAGAATGAAAGAGTTTTTACAGTGGTGTGTAAATCACGTAGAAGAAGGGAAAAAGAAAGAAAGAGAGAAAGAGAGGTAGTGTTGCTCTGTTTTTATACAGTGGGCCCACGTGGTTAAAATCTACGTTTAAAATCCACGTGGCATAATCAAGTAGAAGAAGGGGAAAAGAACTAAAGAGAGTGTGAAAACGCGGTTTTAAGAAAATCCACGTGGCATGCCATATGATTTTTGTAATGAAGGCATATGCATGCCATATGATTTTTGTAATGAAGGCATATGCATGCCACGTTGGCATAATCACGAGCCGTCATATGATTTTTTATGAAGGCATAATATTCATCGCTCAAGGCCATCTGATTCTTTCTCGTTCGATAGATTTTGTGCTTTGTGGAAGGCCTTAAAATTCGTTGTTTCGGGTTGATACTGTAGTTACTTATTTGTGGTTCCCATGAAATTTCTTGAAATCGTTTAACACGTCTAATAATAATATTGTGCCCTCCACACGCCTTTTTTCTTCAAAGAAAATTTTCAATATTAGTATATTTATCGTAACTAGTTTCAAGACTACGTACGCAGTTATTCTTTTCTTTTTAACATTTGACGCAGTTATTCTTAATTATAAGATATCTGCTAGTATCTCTAAGGTTTTTCTAATAAAAACTCTCTCTAGCTTTTTATATAGATCAGATTTGATATATATTTTATTTGTAAATAGAGAAGAATAATTCAGGCGACATCAACTTCTATAGTTTTATGTTATAGTTTTGCTTAACATAAAAAAAAGAAACACAAATTCATATTACTTACAAGTTATTTTAATTATGTACTATAACTCGTATTCCGTACAGATACGTCAGAGACTACGAGTTAGCGCGTTTGTCTTTTTGTGTTTTTTTGTCAATTGTAAGAATCTAATATTACTACTAAATTTAGTAGTTACATCGAGATATAATAGGAATACGCAGCAAAATAAGTGGAAATCAATATTACTCATTCCGTACTCTAAAAAGTCAAAACAAATTATGCACTATTCTCATTCCGTACAAATACGTAAGAGTTATCGCGTTCGTCTTTTTGTTTTTTCACATTTGTGAAAATCTAACATTACTATAATTAGTATTTACATCGAGATATAATAGGAATATGCAGCGAACTAAGTGGAAATAAAGTTCGTTTGTATTATTGTGTAACTGGGCCTATTTGCTCGAAAATTACAAAAAATATTGGAATCCTATCTTCTCATGAAGTGACGTGTCAAATCCATGTCACAAGCTGCTCAAAAGTCAGACGAAACATGATAACGTAAGCTCCTTGAACTCATCGTATCTCCACCACCCAATCGACAAGCTAAGACATATCAAAAACGGACGACACAACTTATGGCCCATTAACGAGAGAAGATAACCCACCATGCTAGCCTCAACCGGAGAAGATGAACCGGACCCTGCCATCGGACCAGACCCGCCAACGGAAGCAGCTACTCCAAGAGTGCTGACTATAATCTCCCACGTGATGGAGAAGCTCGTGGCACGAAACGAGTGGTTGGCTAAGCAAACTAAGGGATTCGGGAAAAGCTTGGAGACGTTTCACGGCGTGAGAGCACCGAGCATAAGTATAGCGAAGTACCTTGAGAGGATATATAAGTACACAAAATGTAGCCCGGCGTGTTTCGTGGTAGGGTATGTGTACATAGACCGGTTGGCTCATAAGCATCCTGGTTCTTTGGTTGTCTCCATGAATGTTCATAGACTCCTCGTCACCTGTGTCATGATTGCTTCCAAGATCCTTGACGATGTGTAAGCGTTTCTTGATTTTCTCATATATCGCAAATTTGACCGACAATAAAGCAAGAGTTGTGCTTGTTAATAGATTTTAAAATAAAAAATAGGTTTTATATATAAAATGAGAACAAGCTTGATAACTAATGCAATGATTTCAATAAAGCTACACATAATAGATGAGACTAAATATATATGTTTTTTTTAAAACTAATTTCATATTCACAGGCATTATAACAACGAGTTCTACGCTCGGGTTGGAGGCGTGAACAATGCGGACTTGAACAAAATGGAGCTAGAGCTTCTCTTCCTCCTTGACTTCAGAGTTACCGTTAGTTTTAGAGCTTTTGAGAGTTATTGCTTTCACCTCGAGAAAGAAATGTCACTGAACGGTGACGTTTCTTCTCTCCAAGATAATCAACCAATGCAAGAGAGTCTCTCCACTGTATCTTCTCTATCTACTCTATATGTTTAATATACAAACAAATTTCGTCTCTTAATCGTAAGTGCGTTTGGTTCGCGGGAAAAGTTTATCAATTTACATTTTAATCTAAAATTTTGATTTTTTTGATAATTTATTTCAAATTCAAGTTATAAAAATTAGTTGATTCCACCCATTTATGTATACTAGACTAGGATTACGATTATCATGTAAAACTGGTTAATTCGAATTGATACTATTTTTAAATAAAGTAAATAGTGTTTTTCCTCAACATTTTTCTCATGTGGTTTTTCTTCTACATATTCATCTATGTTTCCTTCTTTTCACGTGTAAAATAATACGCCTTGATGAGTTTAAGTATCAACCAATAGCAAACTGAAAACAAATCGTGTTTCCGAAATTTTCTTACACTTCGGAATGTATTGTGTTTATCGTGTAGAAACACTCCTTCAAGAGTCAAAAAAACGAAAACCAGAAACGCACCGTTTCTATCGCACAGCGTGGTCTCACACGCTTACCTATTGCCACGTTTGAAATAGACACGTGTCGGTTTCATTGGGTTGGACTTTGCCAAGTTGTTTGTTCTACGGGAAAGTACATTTCCTCTTCGCTGTCTCTCTGGAGAACAGTGCCCTTCTTTTCTGGATATCCAAAAGCTGAAGCCAAGAATCAGAAATACGTAGTTCGATTCTCGTGTTTAAACGACGACGTTTTCGAGTTTTGGCTTTGAAGGGGAAGAGAGAGACTATGGCGGAATCGTCTTCTTCGTCGTCGTCACCATCGCCTACTGAGGAGATCGTTCGGTTGATCAAGCGATTAAGCGCTTACGTTACTTTCAAGATGTCTGGCCTCTTCTCTACATCAATTCGCAATCTGGTTCTCTCTCTCGATCTCTCAATCTCAATCTCTAAATCCCCATTTTTCATTGCTTCTGTAATCGGATCTGGTGGGGGTTTTGGTTTTCCGATGGTCGGAATCTCTAGAACCGTGCTACTCTATTTGACTGATAAATTCGGAGATTAGTTGAATTAGTGGCGTAGTATGTGTGATTTGTGCTTTAAGGAACTCGGAAGATTTCAAATTAAGCTTCGTGAATGATAGTAATTTTCATAATTTCTTCCGAATATGATAAATGCGAGCTCTCTGAAGTAACCCTTAAGTTAAAAATCTTCTCTTTGATCGTTTCCATATTGAAAATTGAAGAAACAAATTGATTCAGCTCAAAATTGGCTTAGCCATTTCAGGACTGGTTTTAGCTGCCCTTTAGGGAAAAATCACAACTTTTGAATTATTGCTAATGTATATTCGTTTTTGACTATTTATGTCATGAAATTAGGATTCACGATCGATCGGTGCTATTGCGGGGCTTGCAATTGCGGTGATATTCACATGGAGGGCGATAAGAACTCCAGGGAGACCACAAAGAAGGCAGCCAAAGCGAAGGATGCAATCCGGTGAAACCTCTAATGCTGCTGCTCAGTCGAATCTTGCTTCGATCCCTCCCGATGTTACTTCGCCTCGTGAGGATACCGCAGTGCAAGACGTCGTTGATCAGTTTTTTCAGCCTGTAAAAGTAAGCATTCTGCTTCTCTACACAATTTTTTTTTGTGTTTAAAGCATTAGCCTTTTCTCGCAAGTGTTAAGTTTCCTCTGTTTTATGCAGCCTACGTTGGGTCAAATAGTTAGGCAGAAGCTTAGTGAAGGAAGAAAGGTAATTTCATGCCAGCATCTTTGATAATGTTGTGAATCTTTCTTTTGGCTATGTTTTGATCACATGAAACTGCATATGATCCGTAGTGCCTCATAGTTTTGCCCCAATATATTATATCATCGACAATTTTATTTTAATATATATTGAAGCACTTGGTCATGGTTCATTGTTGTGTTGAGCTTCACCCTTTGTCTGATATACATTTGTAGGTAACATGCCGTCTTCTTGGAGTCATTCTTGAGGAATCAAGTCCAGAAGAACTCCAAGTAGGAAAATTTCCGTTTGGTATTCATTTAAATATGTGCATGATGCGTCTGTATCTGACTCAAGCAAAATGTATGCAGAAACAAGTAACAGTGAGGTCATCCGTTCTGGAAGTTCTCTTAGAGATTACAAAGTATTGTGATTTATACCTCATGGAAAGAGTTCTTGACGATGAAAGCGAAGTGAGCAACAACTTCTTTTCCCATTCAATGTTCACTCTCATTCATGTTCCTTTGTTTACCTTTGGCATGGACAGGAAATAGTTGTAGTTATCATTAAACATGAGTAGCTTAAAACCCTTGGGCAGTGGGTTATAACATGGATACTTGTGTGGATCATAGTTGAGCAATGGATAAAAATTTGAATTAGAAGGATTTTAAGTACATATATATATATATATATATACATTATAAGAGGAAGAGTATTACTTGAGAGACGTTTGTGCATTTGAGCAAGCGAGTTTATAATTAGCATCTCTGATACTCACATTTTTGAGCGTTAATACGCAGGCCAAGGTTCTACAGGCTTTAGAGAGTGCAGGCGTTTTCTCATCTGGGGGTTTGGTCAAAGATAAGGTACTCAGACAATATTCCCAAAAGCTTTACTAATCGATTTCTCTCTGTCCTGAACCATGCAAACACTAGTTAAAGTCGAAATTCGTAAAATCTATGTTTTGGCAAAGTGCAAGGCTTAAACAGTATTGTGACATGAAAAATTTGCAGGTACTCTTTTGTAGTACAGAGATCGGAAGAACTTCGTTTGTCAGACAACTTGAACCTGACTGGCATATCGATACAAATCCAGAGATCAGCACACAACTAGCTGTAAAGCCCTTTCCTTTGTTTAATCATATATATACACATTCTTATCTTGGTTTTTTTGTTAATTTGGTTTCTTCTCTTATTTTATTTGCAGAGGTTCATCAAATATCAGCTTCATGTCTCTGCCGTGAAACCCGAGCGAACGGCTCCGAACGTGTTCACCTCACAGTCAATAGAACAGTTCTTTGGATGTACTTGATGCCATAAACTTGATCATTTCAGTTTCTGACACTAAGGAGAAGCGTTTTCATCATAGAGCGTGTCCTCTCAGGCTAAACTTGAAACTTCTTCTTCTTCTCTTTTTTATTGTCTCGATATTTTAAAAGTTTGATATTTTGGAGTTGGATTACTGAGTACATCCAGTCCTTTAAAACTTCTTCTTCATGGAAGTATCAAAGTTGTGTAATTTTTGTATTAGCAGTGTCTTAAGCAAAGTATCAAAAAAAGTCCTTTAATTTGTCTGCTGCATCTTTTGCTAGTGGGGAGCTTTGTAATGCGAAGTTGTAAACCCTTATAAATTCGTTTCACTTTGGTTTAACCGTATCAAGAAATAGCTGATCGGTGTGGTTTAAACCGGTTCGGAAATTATCCACCTATTGAATCATTTCTTCTACAGCTCAATTCTGAAAAAAGAAAAGTTTTGATTTTTCCTACAAATTCCAGATATGGTTTCGACTTTTGTAATTGTACCGATTCTATTGATTAAACCCTAAAATTTGTACGCACACTGTAGTAATTAAAGTTTTGTCCTTTTTACTTTTAAATATATCAAAAAAGACCAAAGTGTAGCAACGCACCGTCGTCTGAGAAAACTAACCGGCGCTCTAATGGATTCTGTTTGCAAAACCAGCGAGAATCTCGCCGATGAAGTCGCCGCTCTTCTTGCTCCTCTTCCAAGTCTCCAAGTGCAGGCAACTCTCTTTCTCTCTATCTCACTCTCACTTGTTGATGAATTTCTCTAACAGAATATAGATTATAAGTTTGTGAACATCTTCGATGCTAATCTCCCTTAGGTTGCTTCTCAAAGTTATTTTCTTTCTTTGGGTTTTAGGAGTATTTCAAACAGCTAATAACCAATAGAGGATGCAGTGGAATTGAAGTCAAACATAATGGCATCATCGGAAAAGGTTCAATTCTCGTGACCAATCAGCAATTTTGTAACTTTCTCAGTATAATAGCTGCAATGATTGTTTTCATTCCATTGGTTAGGTGTCTATGCCAATTCAGAGTTTGAGGAAGATGAACTCATTTTGAAAGATCAGATTCTTGTTGGCATCCAACATTCATCTAACAAGGTGGGGACTAATCCTTTCCAACGTGGACTAATCCTTTCCAATGTTGTGTTCTGTTTTTGGATTCTGTTTTACTTTAGTGTAAACCAAAGTTTCATCATCTCTTGTCTACCTAAATTTCAGGTGGACTGTTTGGTCTGCAGCTTTTGTTTCCGGTTCATCGGATCAATCGAGAAGCAAATAGGCCGGAAAGTGTATTTCAAGAACATGGGTCTCTCTGGTTGTTGCGAAGGCGATTCATCTGATGATGAATGCATCAAGTACAATGTAGACGAGGAACAGTTTGGTGAAAGCAGCTCGAATCATAACTCTCTTCCGCAAGAAGTTGTTAGTTCTCTGATGAACGGTGAGATGGCATTGCCACACACTGATAAGTTTCCTTTGCCTTCTCCTCTTGCTTGTCCTGGAGGATGCCAGGAAGCTTTCTACTGTAGGTAAATTGAGATTTCATGTCTTGTTACTTCCGTTTTTTCGTTATTTGTTTATTACATGTGTATAAACTTGTCTGCTGTTAGTGATGTCTTGTTTCGATGTGATGATGACACATAGTGAATCATGCGCAAAGGCAGATTGGGAAAGTTCTCATTCTTTACTTTGCACTGGTGAGAGGTCTGAATCAAAATCCAGAGAAGCTCTTGGAGAATTTGTAAAACATGCTAATGGTAATGATCAAGTCTATGCTTGCTGGTTATAAATAGTCTCTTTGAACCTGGCTTTATTTATATCTTTCTACATTTCTTGATTTTCAGAGACAAATAATATTTTTCTCCTGGCTGCAAAGGTATATCTTGTATCAGTTTTTATACAATTTTCAGACTTGTATTTTTCCTTGTATATACTCTTTCGCAGACTAACCAGTTCTTGATAATGTATTATGGCTAGGCGATTGCATTTACCATTCTAAGGTACAGGAAACTGAAAGCAGAACATGTGAACAAACAAGCAAAACAGAGTGTGACAAAGCAGTCGCTACTCTTGGAGGCATGGAAACCAGTATCGGTTGGATTCAAAAGAAGGTATATATATTGATGTTGCCATTAGATAGTATTGACTATCGAAGAAGAATATGACTTGCTTGCTTTTCTTTCTCATGTTCATACATGAAAACAAGCTCGTCTTGTGATATGTCGACGCCGAATATAATCATGTACAACTCTATTCTTGTTTTCTCGGTAGGTGGTGGGACTGTATTGCGTTGCCAGATGATGTTGATCCATCTGATGAAGGAGCCTTCAGAATGCAGATCAAGGATCTTGCATGTACGGTATGTGTTCCATTTGTATGCATACAATCGCAGTTGCATCAGCTTTGGATCCTGACTGTTTTGCCAAATGAATTATATATATATATATATATATATATATTTGTATTTATCTCCAGTCTTTGGAGCTCCTGAAGACATCTATATTTGACAAAGAATGTGAAGCCCGTATCCACTTCGTCAGTTTGATATATCATTTGTAGTTCTGTACCATCGTTTCATTGTATTATAGTTTACTCAAAGATGTTCATTCCTTGACGCCGGGAAGTTTTCTCGCTTGATATCTATGGGAATATCATCGGCATGTTTGAGCTGAATAACCTGTATGAGATCACCACTTTCCTCTCTTATGTTCTTATAAAATACCTCAGAAATGATACCAATCTATTACATCTTTTGCAGAGACTTGGTGGTAGCATCACCAGTAGAAGACTATTTCTTGTATATCGATGATCTTCCAGATGCAGAAAAGGTCTGAACAGAAAACTCTTTCGACCTATTGTTGTAAGTCTCTGAGCCAAATGTACCGACACTTCTCATATCTGATTCTTGTTCATAGGAAGAAGCTGAGGAAATCACAAGACCGTTTCTAGATGCTCTTGGTGATGAGTATTCAGACTGTTGCCAAGGTTAGAAATGATGTGAACAATAACATTGTCGCCATAAGTTATGTAACTTGTAACCAAGATTTTAACGCTATTAATACAACAACCGTATTGTGTGCCAGGAACGGCTTTCTTCCCTCTGCAGAGCTGTATGAACCATTCATGTTGTCCTAATGCAAAAGCCTTCAAAAGAGAAGAGGTAAACTTTCTTACATCTTTGTCTGCAGTTGCAATGTCTCCACTCTCGCTCAAGAATTTTTCTATCAACACTTTTGGACTAAAACTCGATGCCTCCATATGGATTTGCAGGACAGAGACGGACAAGCAGTTATTATTGCGTTAAGACGCATCAGCAAGAACGAAGAGGTACCGTCATCTTATTTTGTATCTACCATAGTGATAACACAATGCTCTTGTATCAGGAGAAAATGTAGCTTAGTATTGAGTTTTTTTTCACATGGAAATAGGTGACGATTTCATATATAGACGAGGAGCTTCCTTACAAAGAGAGACAGGCATTACTTGCAGACTACGGTTTCAGCTGCAACTGCCCCAAGTGTCTGCATGATTCATCTGCATAACTTTGGGGTTTTGATTCCATAAGAACATGAATTTTCAATTTGCCTATTTAGGGAATTTTTCTTGGTCGAACTAAAGGAGAATAGTTTATTTAATGTTTGGCAGCTTCTAATGGCTGTTTTCGTTTAAAACGTGAATGATCATATTATATATTCCTTATGTTTCTAAAAGAGGGATTTTCTAAATTTTATTTTTGTTTATAAAAGATAGATGTTATAAGTTTTTTTAATGTATTTTTATTAGTTAAGATGATATAAATTATAAACTTCAAGAAAATTGATTGTGTTTATTGAATTGTATTTACTGAAATTTTATTGATTTAAGACTATAGTAAATTGTTAAGCACATAAAAAAAAATATTTGTAGTCACGTTTTAATTTGTTTTTCTAATATATATGAAAACTTTAAATCATTTATTAATTAGAAACGAAGAGAATAAATTATTCTCGTACACGGATGATACTAATAAATATAAAGTGAAATTTTCCACCTTTTTATAAATAGATTTATAAAAAGGTGGAAGAAATAGGAATTTAGATTTTGGCTAAATTTCTTTTTAAAAATGGGTAGATTTATTTTGTTCTTTTCTATATTTGTTTGCAGTAGAAGTAGTGGTGAACTCAAATGAAAACTTTTTCTATGGAACAATGAGTCATATCAGAAATTATGAGGAGTGTATTCTCAAGTCGATTATGTATATCAACAACACAAGAAAGTATAAGAACTGCTCTTTTTATTGATTTAGAAACTTCTCAAAACTAAACCTTTTCTTGAGTCTTATGGAATATTTCATAACTTTTTATTTATAGACCTAAGCTACTCTTTAGTCTATTAGGAAATACAAATCTCATCTTTTCTTTATTTGGTATTTCCTATTCTATATATCTTTAGCTACTCCTAAAAATAACTTCTTCTAGAAGTTACTGATATTATCCAACATTCTCCCCCTTAATTCCAACATGAATTTTGGGAGAAATGATTTCTTAAATTCTAATTAAACTCCTCATCTCCTTGAACTTGATCCTTGCCAATGGCTTAGTAAGAATATCAGCCTTCTGCTCCATTTAGGATACGTACTCAACTTCAATTTGCTCATTCTCCACACATTCACGGATGAAGTGATATTTTGAGAGAATGTGCTTGCTTCTGCCGTGAAATACCGGGTTTTTGATGAGGGCTATGGCTGACTTGTTATCGATTCGTAAGATGACCTTCTCGTCACCATCTTGTATCTCCTTTAACAACTCCTTAAGCCATATAGCTTGCTTTGCTGCCTCTGTCGCTGCCATAAACTCTGCTTCACAAGATGATAAAGCCACGGTTGGTTGCTTCTGCGATGTCCATGTGATTGGAGATGATCCGAAGTAGAAAACATGACCCGAGGTACTTTTACCATCGTCTACATCAATGTTGTGGCTGCTGTCACTATAACCAATCATGTGATTTGTTCCATCCCTCTTGAAAAACAAACCTTGGTTAGTAGATCCTCTGATGTACCTTAAGACGTGTTTTAAAGCTTGTCCGTGTGATTCTCTCGGACTTTGCATATAACGACTAAGGATTCCAACAGAATATGCTACATCCGGTTTTGTATGAAGTAGGTACCGTAAACATCCTATAGCTCTTCTATAGGCTGTGGCATCTATCTCAGCTTCGTCTTCTGCCTTAGAAAGCTTTAAACCCGATTCCATAGGTACATGTGATGGATTACATGAGTCCATCTTCATATCAGAGAGAATACCTTTCGCGTATCCCTCCTGCTTGATTCTAATTCCATCTTCTCCTTGGATTACTTCAATTCCAAGATAATATGTAAGCTTCCCTAGATCTGACATATTGAATCTCCTTGACATGTCCCCTTTGAATCGATCGATGACTGTCCGAGAAGTGCCTGTTACGAACAAATCATCAACGTAAATAGCAACTATAAAGAAGTCACTCTTTGTCTTCTTGAAATAAACAAGAGGTTTCCTTCAAGCATCTCTTAAAGTTCATCTCTTTTAGAACATGATCAAGCTTCAGATTCCAAGCTCTAGGGGCTTATCGCAGGCCGTATAGTGCTTTATGTAGCCTGTAGACTCGTTTTTCTTCTCCCTTTTTGACAAAACCTTCGGGTTGGGTAACATAAACAAGCTCATTTAGGTCACCATTCAGGAATGCAGTCTTAACATCTAAGTGATGGATTTCCCAGCCTTTGGTTGCTGCTAGAGCTATCAGTAGTCGAATTGTTTCGATCCGTGCTACAGGGGCAAACACTTCATCAAAATCAATTCCATGCTGCTGTACATAGCTTTTCGCAACAAGCCTTGCTTTATGTTTGTTTACTGAGCCATCTGCATTCTTCTTTAATTTATAGATCCACTTCAGTCCTATAGGCTTCACCCCGTCAGGTTTGTCAACGAGCTCCCAAGTGCCATTCTTTGTGATGGATTCTAGTTCTGCAATCATTGCGTCTACCCATTCTTGTAGATCTGCAGCTTCATGGTAGTATTCAGGCTCACCATCGATTGTAAGCAGCAGTCTTTCCCCTTCTTCATCTGCAAGCATTACGTAGTCACTAAGGTATGAGGGAAGGTTCACTTTGCGACCATACCGTGTCAAGATCGGTTCTGGTTCTTCTTCTTGATTCTCATCATGTTCTTCCTCTGCATTTTCTCCTTCTTCTTCTTCGTGGTGGTCTATATGAGGCTGGTCATGATCTTCATTATCGTTGTTCTGAACATTAGCATCTCCTCCATCTTCCATAGGACCATAACGAGGAAGTTTAATATTGCCAGGTTCCCCGTAGTCGTCTGTCGTTTCGGACGACCAATCCCATGCCTTTGTCTCCTCAAAAATTACATCTCTGCTTACCATCACCTTCTTCGTCACTGGGTCGTAGAGCCTGTAGGCTTTAGAGCCTGGTTCAGTGCCAAGGTTAACCACAGTCTTCGATCTCTCATCCAGTTTCTTAAAGTGTGGTCCGATGATTTTCGCGTGAGCAACACAACCAAAAACCCGTAAATGTTCGATGTGAGGTTTCCTGGTTGTGAAACATTCATATGGAGTTTTGTTCTCCAATGCTTTAGTGGGGACTCTGTTAATGATGTACGCTGAATGCCTTACAGCTTCTCCCCACAAGAAATTCGGAATCTTCATGGCCTTAAATATGCTTCTTGTCATCTCCATTAGAGTCCGATTTCTTCTTTCTACAACGCCATTCTGCTGCGGTGTGTAGGGTGCGGTTAGTTGTCTCGAGATCCCATTCTCTTCACAGAATGAATTAAACACAGCAGAGGTAAACTCTTCTCCTCTATCGGTACGAAACGATTTAATCTTCAAGCCAATTTGATTTTCGACTAGCCCTTTGAATCTTTTGAATCGATCGAATACCTCGCTTTTCTCCTTTAGTAACAGAATCCACATGTATCTCGAGAAATCGTCTATTAAGACAAAGACGTAGCGGTTATTCGCAGGTGTTGGCGGAGTGATGGGTCCGCACAAGTCTCCATGGATCAGTTCCAATACTTAAGCTGCATGGAATGTTGTTTTTGCTGGAAACGAACCTCTTGTTTATTTCCCAACTATGCATGCAGTGCATACATTCTTCTCATGTACAACATTCGGCATTCCCACGACCATCTCCTTCCTAACCATATTATTCATAATGCCGACACTAACATGTCCCAGCCTTGCACGCCAAGTCAACATCGTGTCTTCTTTTTGTATGTGGAGGCACTTTGAGTAGCTTATCTCCATAGGTGTTTTATAGAGACGATTTGACGATCTGATGACACAAACTAGTAGTCTACCACGAGGGTCTCTAAGTGTTAATGCATTGCCTTTCATACGCACTTCGCAGCCATTCTCGGTTGCTTGCCCTAGACTAATTATGTTGTGTTTCAGCTCAGGTATGTAGTATATATCTTTGAGGGCTTTCTTTTCTCCAGTCTTGCCCATAAAGATAATTGTACCTTTGCCAATGATCTCCACGTTTGAACCGTCTCCAAAATTTACTCTCCCTTTGATTCTCTCATCAAGGTTAGAGAAGTAGTCTTTGTTACCCGTCATATGATTACTAGCCCCATTATCCAAGTACCACATACTCGTGTCTTTATGATTTTCATCATACTTCTTTGGGAACACCTTGTTTTCATTTAGAAACACCACCTCATGAACATATAGAGCATCCGCTTCCTCTGTTTCGTTTAGGTTATTTTCTTGGTTCTTAGGCAGGTCGGGACAAGTTGTTACATAATGTCCTGGTTTGTCGTATCTGTAGCGTATTACTTTACTCATATCCTTCTTCCGATTTTGAGTATCACTTCTGTTGTCTCCTCCCGTGTTTCTGCGACCACGGCCTCTACCTCTGCTACCTCCTCGACCTCTGCCTCTACCACCATGACCTCCATGGTTACTCTGTTCGTTGCGATTACCCTGTTCTTTGCTTGACCACATAAGCTTGTTCTGTTCCTCTCCCTGCGGTTCTTCCCCAACTCGTTCTTCATATGCCTTTAATCTTCCGACGATATCTTCGAATCCTGTTTTGTTTAGGTCCAGGACTTGTTCTAGTGAAGCAATGATTTGAATGTACTTATTTCGCGGGAGGCCCTTTAGGAATTTTTTCACAAGTTTTGGCTCCTCTATGACGTCTCCGAGTGAGGCTGCCTTCGAAGCTAACCCCGATATCTTTCCGGTGAAGTCATCAACTGAGTCCGTACTTGACATGCTTAGTTTGTCAAATTCTGACATAAGGGTTTGCAATCTTGCTTCTCTCACACGATCTGCTCCAAGATGTCGTGATTTGATGGCTTCCCAAACACCTTTTGACGTTTCTTGTTCCCCCACTTGGAGAATAAGAGATTCCGGGATTGATTGAAAGAGAAGAGCTATAGCAGCGTAGTTCTTCTTTGGATCTGCTAACTCCGGATCTATGGTGTCCCATACTTCATTAACGTGAATTATAACCTTCATCCTCATCGCCCAAACAGTATAGTTTGTCGATGTTAACATAGGACATTGG